TTTTTCACTAACGTTGACTAATGTCACCAACAAATTTAAGGCGAACGGTCTTACTGAGTCAATAGCTCTGTTTTCGATACGCCCAGTTACTCCCTGAATATTTCTGTTTCTAAAACTTTGCAAATGGCAACATTTAACCTAATCGTTTTAGAGATGGGTGGAAAACCCCAGAATTTTCTTGTAAGAAAACATGGAATGAGGTAAGACTACAAACTAAATCCATGTGTGGACTATAGGGCAGGAAATCGAATCTGGGCCACAGAGGTTGAACTGCATGGAAGGTTAGTTACAAACCACTGCGCTGATCATTGGGTATGGGTCAATGAAACATCCCAAATACAATCTCAACTCCCTGGGGAAGATACAGTTTGATGCTGCCATTCCGGCGCAAGCAGCTAAAACCAATCACAATTACCATGACAGTTTATCATTATTCGTCCTGTTTACAATTCTTCTTAATTAACTCTTATCAATATGAAATAATGCACCCATTAACAAGCACACTGTAAATACGTCACAAATATTGCTTACCGCGCCGATACAAAGTGAGATAGTTGACACAAAGTCCTTCTGAAGCAGGTGTTCTAGTATGTATGGCCAATTAGTCGTTACTCTAGGTAGACTTCAAGTTCGATGTTAGGAAAGATCCCAAGGGCACTGGTGAGGGAAGAGCGAGTGAAACCTTTGTGAGGGAGAACGAGTTGTAGCTATGTTGGTATGTGGGTGAGTTGCTTATAGCCCTGACCGTGTGTCTATCATGACGCCTGCTATGTTGACATAGTTGCAGCCTTTGATATCAACACATCATGATTAATAATCAAGTTTTTATTTGTTTGCTTTTATCGCTTGGCAGTTGGCAAACAAAGCACAATAAATTTTGCCGTCGTATTTATTTTAGACAAGTTAGTAGACAACGAGGAGGGAAATCACAGTTTTAGTGGTGGAAGGGAAAATATAATTTATGATATTACAGGCAAAACAAGGGAATCAGGTAGGGATTGAAAACCTACACTGGGTCACTGAGGTGGAAAGTATCACAACGCCATGAGTGTTTTATTTCAACCAAGGTGTTATGTCCGGTTCGGTCTTGTCTCTGACTCGATAATCATCAATAATATTATCAAACCAAATGGAAAGTCTCAAAGACGGCGTCATATTATAGGATTTGATGTTCCCTGAAGCAAAACACGAATAGACATGTTGAGCTGAAGACCTCAACTAATGGGCATAAAAATTGCCTTAAAAAGCTGATGATTGAGAAGAGAGATAAACCTCGTGAAGATGTCTAGCCCCCCCCCCCCCTTCAGAGGGCCGCCTGAAAGTTCTGTGTGTTTCGAATACTCGGTCGGGACTATGCCAGCAGTGAATCTCGTAACCCATTGAGGCATAAAATGCAACGACCGAAAGCAAAATAATTTCAAACCAAACACACTTACTCACATAAGTCTATTCTATTAAATTTGCATGATATTCTTTGTTGTCATAAAAAAAGAGACTCTATAATGGCCATAATTAAATTACAAAATTTATAACAAAAAATTATCCTTTAAATAAAACATTTATTGGCCTGAAATCCACAGCTTATATCAATTGACGAATTGATGTTTTCAGAATGTAAATAAATTCCACTATATATATGCTTTTAGCAAATGAGACCCCTTAAAAATCATACAGGCCCACGCGCACACAACCTTTTATGCATATTATACTTGCGTGGAAGACGTTTGTTTCAATTTTTTGCTCCCCTTTGTTTCTGTTGGAATCTTAAACTCCCTTTTCCTTAATGACAATAAAACTATTTCAATATAAAGAGAGACTTGTGAGGTATTGTGTTTACTGCCTCATAAGGATTAATGGGTATGTACTTTGGAACAACTGTTTACGCGACTTAATGACACAATCAATATCGTAAAGAAATGCGATAGCCTTTTTGACCCTTACCAAAACAAAAAGACACCCCAACACCAGAACAAACAAAGAAGTAGATAATCTAGGGCAGGGTCCGGAATGACTAGGATTCCCAGTGTGTGGCGATTGGTTAATATTTACGACAGTTTGCCTATCCAAACACAAGCACGCATAAATATCAGCAGAGTTCATTCTAATCTGATTTATAAACGGAGAAAAGAAGATAATAAAAAAAATAAACAAAAATTGACATGCTTATTGTTTGTAATGAGTTAATAATAAAATAAATGTGCACCGAAAAACATCAATTACTGAAGCGTTCTGGGTTGACAACAAAAAATACACATTACTTTACATAAAACAAGTTCAGCCCATTTCAGAAATATCCATCAGCCATTGGTATACTTCTTTGCGTATAGAAGAACCGACACATTAATGATCAATTAGGCCCCAAATACATTTATTAATCATTTTGTATCAATTTTGTATCATGATTTGTATAGGCCTGTATACTTTATTTAAATTGAATGTAGAATATGCGAATTTAAATTATAACAAAATTTAATGAAAAAAATGTTCAATTCAGCCCGTGTCACAATAAAAAAAAAGAAAGATTATCTGCAAATTGGATTGGGCTCGCACATTTTGTAATAATCGGCAACGCATACGTCACACCGAAAGTTCAATCGCGTATTTGTAATTCTTTAAATGAAACGTTATGAACATTTATTTGAATGATGCAAAATGATATCGAATGCTAGTTATTGCGAAAATGAAACGAGTATGTACGTCGTTCTCAAAATCATCGCCAAATTGAAAACATGTTTTACAAATTCAAATGCACATTTTCCAAAATTGTCTGGGAAAACCTAGAGTAGGTGTGAGATAACTGTATGTTGGGGTGATAATCAGTTAACATCCCCCCTTTGCATCCACCGCACTGGCCTTGGCAATGTGAGCTATGGCGATGGTCCCAACCATGTTGGGACAGTCCCAACATATTGTCCTTACCATTGCCATCATAGTTAGGGCGTAACACTATATCACACACTGAAAAAATGCCTGGGTTAATTTAACACAAGAAAGGGTGAAAACTGCAACTACCCAAAATTGGTTATTCTTTACCCAATTGTTTGGGTTATAATTTCTATTAAATTCAACCAAAACTTTTGGTCACATAAGACCAAATTAAATTTTATCTTGAAAGGCCACAAATTTTGTTTGAATTAAACAAAAATTTATAACCCATACAATTGGGTAAAGAATATTTAACCCAATTTTGGGTAGTTCCAGTTTTCACCCTCTCTGCGTAAAATTAACCCAGGCAATTTTTCAGTGCAACCTCATATCCCCAAAGGAGATGGGGTCCTTATTGGTCCCTTTATCTGGCCCATTTCCTTTTGTTTGTTTGTCTTGATTACTTTTATTTGTTGGCCGTTAAATATATCAATAAGGTCTAAAGCATAATGACAAAGCAATATTATTTCAATAACTAGAAAGCACTCAGAGGGCGCACACCTCCGCCAAGGTTGAACAAAATATTCTCGATTTGTACTTGTAACAAGGACCACCCCTCTACATGCATTATGCATGTGTTGGTCTACCTTTCCACTCCCACATTGTATAAAATGGTATAGTCCATTGACCTGTGTGGTTAGATTAGGTGGGTGAACATGAGTCGCCGAATCAGTGCCACGCAGCTGGTCTCACAGAGCGATCTCAGACTGGTGAAAAATTGTCATATGCGGGTGACCGAGAAATCCTTTGAAGAAAATTCTGCGTCCAGAAGCAGATGTGGACACTTCCATAATCTAATCGACATTTGTACGTGTACCAAGGACCACCCCTAAATATTTTTTTCCACGAAAATCCGCCCAGAACCATATGAGTAATGCAGCTGTACACAGACAAACACACCCACAGCCAACCAACTAACACACAAACACAAACCAACGCCGGTAAAAACATACCTCCTTGGCGGGGGTATAATTAAAGCATTGTATAAGGTCATATGACACTATAATTAATATTTGCATCATAGTTCATGTACATATGACATGTTATGACCTAATACAATGTTGTTTTGCCAGACTACTTACAGCATTTTTATACTGGTATAATTGCACGCGTTCAACTGCCACAACACATGTTATAACAGTTTAAGTTTTTAAGCTTTTGTACTTTGTTTTTCCACGTTTCAGTTCTATTGAATACATTTTAGTTGTTGGAAAGTTTGGAAAACTTGTGCTACGCCACTGTGTCAATTTGGTTATTATCTTTTATTTAAAATAAATATCTTAGTGGGCCTGATATTTCGACCCTAGCAGACTTTGTTTTTATGATGTTAACCACACCTTAAGTTCTTTATTATTCCTTAAAAAAACAAACGGAGGAAAAAAACAGATGGGATTATAGTTAAACGATACCAATTTACTTTTTGGTGTTTGACTGTAGACTGTCTTTGACCGAGTCCAATTTGACCACTGAGTAACCACCCATGTTTCTTGGGTACACTTCCATTATTATATTGGCTCGAGCTTGTTCGTCTGATCAGGAGGGAATAGGAAGAATCAAGGCAGGGCTCGACAAGGTAACCATCATGTTTTTGACGAAGGGGGCACCCAGGCCATCAAAATGAACATGGGTGCATGGCGCCATTTCGAAAACGCGAATTATAATCGCGTCATTGCGTGTTACGTAGGCCTGGGCCTACAAGTCCTCCAAATACAATGAAACATGGGCGTAGCCAGGGTTCTCATCCCTAGGGGGCAAGTGGGGGGGGGAGGGGGGGGGGGTGCGGGCTGGATGTGACAGTGCTCAAAGCTAAACGTTTTTTTTTTCACCGGACACCCGGCCTCCGTTAAAATCACAGTTTGGGGGGGGGGGGGGGGCTGAGACTGGACTTCATCTTTCTGTGTAGGCCTGTTCAAAACCGAATTCATGGTCATTGTCAGACAGTAGTAATCGCAATGCGCGTTCCACGCTACTTTGCCAGAAAAAAAAATCACTGTTCCAGGTCACTTTGTTTTTGACTCACCATGTATAGTAACCTCCAAAGATATCCTTTGAATTGCAACATTGCAGAGTCTAAAATGGCAATTCGTACAGTGTCCCTGGCAGTGCTTCTTCCATACTGCATCATCGCTTTGCCGAATGGACCACTGGTAGACCATAACCCTGAAGTTTGCACCAGCATGTCACCGGGGGATCACCATCCTGCCAACATGGCCACTGGCCCAGCACCTTACATCATTGTGGTCAGCAATGACACCTATACCGCGGGACAACCAATACAGTGTATTATAAGAGCAGTGTCGAAAGTAATTGATAGAGGCAGATCATTGAACCCATTTACTTCTTGAAGTCAGTTTGAGTTGTCGCATGGTGTAACCATGCAGTTGACTTAGCCGAACCCGGCCCAGCCCGGCCCAGCCCACCCAGCCATGTCCACACAGCCGGCAATGACATGTCATGTCCAGCTCAGCCCATGGCTACTCTAATCCAGCCCAGCCCAACCCAACCCATTCCACCCCAACCCTGCCCAGTTCAGCCCAGCCCTTTTCAGTCTAGCCCACTCTAATGCAATCCAGCCCAGCCAAGCCTAGCCAAGGCCAGCCCCGCCCGGCCCATCCCCACCCCGTACCTCCCACGCCAACCTATGGAGTAGCCCAGCCCAGCCCCACTCCGCTATAAAGCCAAGCCCATCCCTTCTCATTCCATCCAAACCCACCCAGCCGACCGCAGTCAATCCAGCCTTAAACCCATCCCAATCCATCAGCCCATCTTAACATAGCCCAGCCCAGTCCAGCCCAGTACAACCCAGTCTATAGCCAAGCACAGCCAAATCGAGCCCATTCCGGCTCACCCCATTCATGCGCACCTATAGCTGACCACACCTTCACCCTTTAACATCATGATCATCATTTAAACTAAGTTTTTCTTTGTTTCGTCACAACAGTGACAGTCCGTGCTGCCAATCAGGGCGTAACCTTCGCCTGTTTCTTCGTTCAGGCAAGAAGCCAATTAGGCTCGGCTCAGACGGATGCTCTTGGAACGTTCAGCAACGATCCTCAAGGATCGCAAGCTTTTGCCTGCACCTCTCCCGCGGTGAGAAGGCTACTCAATTTCTCGACAACACAATATGCTATTTCCATTTCAAACCAAGCGCTCATCCTCAGAACAAAATGTTTGTACCATTCACTCATCAGAAGCCCATCAACCGATACATTTTGTTATTGGTGCCTTATTGTTTTCATGCTTTAGTGGTCACCTCGTTTGCTTTATATAAATGAATCGATCAGAAATGTGATTGTTCTCTTATTTATAATCGAAAGTGACAACATTCCCTCTATCCAACAGTGGAGGAATTAAAACATTAACATATTCAGTGTGTGGTGGACACAATATGAGGGCGCTGTTTGATTTGGTGAAGTCTTTTGAATTTACCCAAACTAAGAAGCGCCCTTCCATACCTCAATTAATCCGCAATACCTCAGGATAATGGAGGAATTCTTCCGATACATTTTAGAGTTAAATATACCCAATCGATTATATTTCCATTCCACTTTCAACCCTTTCAATCTAACGGTATTTTTCACTCTAAATTGTTGCTCGGTAGAAAGCGAGTGTTTATCAGTTGACTGTTTCGTTGCGTGGTCGAGCTGATGAGTTTTATTTTACAGACGTGTTTCGGTTGTTCAGTGAGTCAGCCGGTTGGTCTGTTGGTTATTGGGTTTGAGTGCTTGAATGAATGAAAGTTTGAGCCATCGTGCTTGTTTGATTGGTCCGATAGGGAGCCTGGTCCCACAACAACAAGAATGCCAAGAGGGAGATAACTGCAACGTGGATGCCGCCATCCGATGATCAAGGATCCATTGCATTCCAGTAAGTGTTGCTGAAGCTATTCTGTGTATTTGGTTGTCACAATTCTACGGCTCATCAAAACACAAATGTCTTCGGAAGCAGAATTCTTCGTGAAATTGTCCCATAAAAGCAAGATAACTCTGTAATCATTCTTGTCATCTCCAGGGCAACCATCGTGAGGGGTCCAGCCAGCGTTTACTGGGAAGGTGTGAAATCACAGTCTCTGGCGTACAGTGCTGCACCTAGCTTGGGTATGTACACGGCAGGCCTCTGCCTTGGAATTTTGGGGATTTTCCAGAAGGATGTTCGGTAAAAAAAATCGTCAATAATCTTCTGACTATATTAAAACACCAAGGCTCTTCTTGGAAAATGTTGGGTAAAAACGAAATTTACTCCACTAAGTTCACTTTCTGACTACAAAGTTGAGGAGTTTATCCTTTAACAATTTCAGGGACGATGGACATATTTTTGTAAAAAAAAATGTTTAAACAGAAGGTTGATGTACGAACCTCAAGTTTGGATATTTTTGACCAGCTTAATCTACAACGACATAGGTGTGTCTGAAGTTCAAACGTTGCTTGAATTGTTACTGGGTACCAGTATTAACTTATCTCAACCGTCTCTGGCAATATGATGCGACATGACGCAGGCAATAGGGTCATCTAGAAGGCGCCCTCCTGACATATTTTGATGCTTTCCCCTTAAAACAAGACTTTTGGAACAAACAAAACGAAACATGTGTTATCATATCATGTCCTCCGTAAAACTCTTCGGGACCCGGCGAATTCTCGCCGAAAACTAATTTTTTTGAGTTGGATATCAACACAATGTTTCTTCTTAAAAGTAGCCCCAAGATTTGAAAGCAAGCTCATGATTTTTTTTATTGTTTACTTGCAGTTTCAAGCAGCATCTTCCTCTTGACTTTTGCCGTGTTCTGGGCGATGATGGCGTGACTGTGATAAAATGGTGGATGTCTATACCGCCCTCTTGTGATAGCATCTGGACAAAAATAATCGTCTTAAATCGGAAACGTGCCTTACTCTTTTTGGGAGACGCTGATGAAAGGTGCGATGACCCAAAGAAGCGTCAATTTCCAATAGAGCAACTATAGACAATGGATTATTGATTATTCAAGCTTTTTTATTGCGAAAAGTTTGATCATACTCGGACCAAAAAATTCTCAAGTTGCTTTTGCTTATTGGTAAATTGCCATTATTCTGGAAAAAAAATACTAAACTACACATATACATTATTTAATCACACAAAACAGAGAAGCTTCTTGTAAAGACTTCTAAAGTGTTTTAAATTCATTACATTTTAACATAAAGGGCTACATCCTCGATTTCTATCCAACTAAACGCTACTGACATTTTTCTCCAAATCAGATTTCTATCTTTAACTTACTGGTGCTGTCAATGTCGTTTTTATTCCCTTGGTCAGGTACTGCCACATTGTCACATTTTGATATTAACTTGAAGATAAATGGATGAAACATTTTCCTGAAAACTTATGAAATATGAACTCTTCAACTATATCTGCTCCAGCATAATGTTCTTTAATTGAAAGTTATTTAAACATGAAATCAATTACATTGATTAGTATAACTTGTTAAGAATACTGTCCTCGGTTACAACAACAGGAAAACAGGGGAAAAACCATCGCAGGTAAGAAAAGTAGAACAGAAAAACAACTAGAGCTTATGTGCTTCCACAAGCATGGATATCAGCCTAACTGGCCGTTTGAACGTTTTTTCTGAATACTGGCTCGCACTGACCACAAGGAGACCATTGCTCCCAAATCTACTGAAATACTAAAATGCTACGCGGTGAGCCGAACAGGTAATTGACGAAAGAAATATTCAAAGCAGGTGAAGGATATTGGCAAGAAAAAGCATTTTACCTTTTTTTAATAAAATGACCCCAACTGACCATTAGATGACCATTGGCCAAATTCTGTGAACAATCAGGCTTGGTCCAAACATATAATTGACCAGGATTGACATTAATTGGGTCAAGACTGTGGGACAAGAATTATTTTGTATTTTTAACAAAAATGACCACTAGGTGATCATTGACGCCATATGCTGGTCACCTAAGATAGGACTAAGGTCAACGAAGAAATTTGGCTGAAATCGGCCACCAAATATGGCAGATATAGCAAAATGACCACTGAATGACCATTGAGTGACCACTACCTGAAATATACTAAAATGCTGTATGGGTATGTGCTAAGCATGTAACTGACGAAAATAATTTCAATCAGGTGAAGAATTTTGTAGAAACAAAAGGTTTTATCTGTTTCAGTAAAATTACCCCTACTGATCATTAGATGACCATTGGCCAAAATCTGTGAACAACTCACATGAGGCTTGGTCTACAGATGTAGGTGACCGAGTTTGACATTAATTGGGTCAAGACTGTGGGAGAAAAAAACATTTTGTATTTTTGAAGAAAGTGACCACTAAGTGACCTCTAAGTGACCATTAAGTGACCATTGGCCTTACATGCTGATTACTTAAGATAGAACTAGGGTCAAGGAAGATCATGTCCAAATTTGGCTGAAATCGGCCAGGGAATTTTGCAGGTATAGCATTGTTTGTGAGCGTCAGTGTACTTGTGATCCCAAGCTGATAACAAAATATGTCATGCATACCATGTTTTCCTCATGGTACGTAGTGTATGACAAACCTATAACAAACCTATAACAAACGTACCATATCTGTGTTTCCCCAATGTACGTAGTGTATTTCGCTCGTACCCCCCCCCCCCCCCCCCCCACCCTCCCTGCAAACAGCAGGGCGTGGGTAACGAGCGAAGTAGCGTATGCGAACCAAGCTCATATTGCAAGCGCGTATTGCAAGCGAATCATTGTGATAAAAAAACCCTGCCACATCTCCGTTTCCGACTTGCACGTATTGCAAGCGAATCGTGCTGATAACAAAACTTGCCGAATCTCCGTTTCGACATTGCACGTATTCCAAGCGAATCATGCCGATAACAAAATCTGCCATATCTGTGTTTTAGACTTTGCACATAGTGTATGCTAACCAAAACTTGCCATAACTCCGTTTCCTCTAAAAGACTTAATGCATACGAACTGGCCTCGTACGAAGCCGATTACAAAACCTGCCATATCTGTGTTTTAGACATTGCACTTACTGTATGCTAACCAAGTTCGTCAAACAAAACTTGCCATAACTCCGTTTCCTCTAATACACGTAATGCATACGAACTGGCCTCGTACGAAGCCGATAACAAAACCTGCCATATCTGTGTTTACTTTGCACTTACTGTATGCTAACCAAGTTCGTCAAACAAAACTTGCCATAACTCCGTTTCCTCTAATACACGTAATGCATACGAACTGGCCTCGTACGAAGCCGATAACAAAACCTGCCATATCTGTGTTTACATTGCACTTACTGTATGCTAACCAAGTTCGTCAAACAAAACTTGCCATAACTCCGTTTCCTCTAATAATACACGTGAACTGGCCTCGTACGAAGCCGATAACAAAACCTGCCATATCTGTGTTTACTTTGCACTTACTGTATGCTAACCAAGTTCGTCAAACAAAACTTGCCATAACTCCGTTTCCTCTAATAATACACGTGAACTGGCCTCGTACGAAGCCGATAACAAAACCTGCCATATCTGTGTTTACTTTGCACTTACTGTATGCTAACCAAGTTCGTCAAACAAAACTTGCCATAACTCCGTTTCCTCTAATACACGTAATGCATACGAACTGGCCTCGTACGAAGCCGATAACAAAACCTGCCATATCTGTGTTTACATTGCACTTACTGTATGCTAACCAAGTTCGTCAAACAAAACTTGCCATAACTCCGTTTCCTCTAATACACGTAATGCATACGAACTGGCCTCGTACGAAGCCGATAACAAAACCTGCCATATCTGTGTTTACATTGCACTTACTGTATGCTAACCAAGTTCGTCAAACAAAACTTGCCATAACTCCGTTTCCTCTAATACACGTAATGCATACGAACTGGCCTCGTACGAAGCCGATAACAAAACCTGCCATATCTGTGTTTAAGACATTGCACATACAGTGTATGCTAACCAAGTTTATCAAACAAAACTTGCCATAACTCCGTTTCTTCTAATACACGTAATGCATACGAACTGGCCTCGTACGAAGCCGATAACAAATCCTGCCATATTTGTGTTTTTACGAAAGCCCTGTAGTGCCATCAAGTATATATTTTGTCCAAGTTCGTTTTTATGAGTTATATATTTCGCCAAGTTCGTTTTTATGAGTTATATATTTCGCCAAGTTCGTTTTTATGAGTTATATATTTCGCCAAGTTCGTTTTTATGAGTTATATATTTCGCCAAGTTCGTTTTTATGAGTTATATATTTCGCCAAGTTCGTTTTTATGAGTTATATATTTCGCCAAGTTCGTTTTTATGAGATACATTTTGTCCAAGTTCGTTTTTATGAGTTATATATTTTGCCAAGTTCGTTTTTATGAGTTATATATTTCGCCAAGTTCGTTTTTATGAGATACATTTTGTCCAAGTTCGTTTTTATGAGTTATATATTTCGCCAAGTTCGTTTTTATGAGTTATATATTTCGCCAAGTTCGTTTTTATGAGTTATATATTTTGCCAAGTTCGTTTTTATGAGTTATATATTTCGCCAAGTTCGTTTTTATGAGATACATTTTGTCCAAGTTCGTTTTTATGAGTTATATATTTCCCAAAGTTCGTTTTTATGAGATACATTTTGTCCAAGTTCGTTTTTATGAGTTATATTTTACGGAGTTACGGAGTTTTATGAAGTTACGGAGCCCCTAAAGTGACATCCAAAATTATTTTTTTATTTCGTGCGCACGACATAGTATCTCGTGCGCACGAGATAATTATCACGTGCACACATATATCTCGTGCGCACGACATATGTCTCGTGCGCACGACATATATCTCGTGCGCAAGAGATAATAATAAGTATTAACGGAGCTTGCTGCACGTGCAGCGGACGAGTTTGTGTGTAACGAAAGCAGCGTGTCAGTTATGGAGCCCCTAAAGGGACATCCAAAAATTTTTTTTACCTCGTGCGCACGACATAATATCTCGTGCGCACGACATAATTATCTCGTGAGCACGACATATTTCTCGTGCGCATGAGATAATTATGTCATGCGCATGAGATATTATGTCGTGCGCACGAGGTAAAAAAATAATTTTGGATGTCCCTTTAGGGCCCTGTCACACTTCTGCATATCCTAATTCCTTATGAGTTGTGCATTGACTTTTTTCCATACGCAGTCGTACGCACAATACGCACCTCATATGCATCTCTATCGTTTTATGTAAGTTTTATGTACGCCGGCATACGCATGGTATGGCCCAGTACGCTGGATAGTTTTGGGCATGCACAAAACTACGCTGCGTACGCTGTTACGCAGGTCATAAGTTATAAATACGCAGCGCATCGGTTCCGCATCGGTCGAGCGCGGTACGAGTACGCTATGTGTTCGTGAGGGATAAGCCGTTCATACGCGGCAATACGCTGACCTCCTATATTGGACGTATACATAGCGACGTATTGCACGAATTAGTACCGCTCGTCTTGCGAGCGGGGAGCGCATTGTACTTATTCGTAACTTATGAGAAACGCACAGATGGCAAACTTGCGCACTGCATACGCAACTTATACGCATCTCATACGCAGTGGATACGCTGAATTCGTTACTTGTTCGCTAGATGTGCGTCGCACATATGTCAAAGTAATCAAAACATTTCGACGTTTTTGATCGTACGGCTGCGTATTGAAAATTGTTGATAAGGAACTCATAAGAAATTGGGATACGCAAAAGTGTGACAGGGGCTTTAGGGGCTCTGTAACTGACACGCTGCTTTCGTTACACACAAACTCGTCCGCTGCACGTGCAGCAAGCTCCGTTAATACTTATTATTATCTCGTGCGCACGAGATATATGTCGTGCGCACGAGACATATGTCGTGCACACGAGATATATGTGTGCACGTGATAATTATCTCGTGCGCACGAGATACTATGTCGTGCGCACGAGATAAAAAAATAATTTTGGATGTCACTTTAGGGGCTCCGTAACTTCATAAAACTCCGTAACTCCGTAAAATGTAACTCATAAAAACGAACTTGGACAAAATGTATCTCATAAAAACGAACTTTGGGAAATATCATAACTCATAAAAACGAACTTGGACAAAATGTATTTCATAAAAACGAACTTGGCGAAATATATAACTCATAAAAACGAACTGGGCGAAATATATAACTCATAAAAACGATCTTGGCGAAATATATAAGTCATAAAAACGAACTTGGCGAAATATATAACTCATAAAAACGAACTTGGCGAAATATATAACTCATAAAAACGAACTTGGCGAAATATATAACTCATAAAAACGAACCTGGACAAAATGTATCTCATAAAAACGAACTTGGCGAAATATATAACTCATAAAAACGAACTTGGCGAAATATATAAGTCATAAAAACGAACTTGGCGAAATATATAACTCATAAAAACGAACTTGGCGAAATATATAACTCATAAAAACGAACTTGGCGAAATATATAACTCATAAAAACGAACTTGGCGAAATTTATAACTCATAAAAACGAACTTGGACAAAATATATACTTGATGGCACTACAGGGCTTTCGTATGTTTTAGACCAAGTTCGTTTAACAAAACTTGCCATAACTCCGTTTCCTCTAATTCACGTAATGCATACGAACTGGCTTCCTATGAAGCCGATAACAAAACCTGCCATATCTGTGTTTTAGACATTGCACATAGTGTTAGAACATCAGTTGAAGAAATGACCCCTCCTGACCATTAGTTGACCATTGGCCATGTTCTGTGAACAACTAATATGAGGCTTGTTCCACAGATGTAACTGACCAAGTTTGACATTAATTGGGTCAGGACTGTGGGAGAAGAAGCACTGCATGACCACAAGGCGACCATTATCATGTGGCTGAGATCGGCAAAGTAATGTAAGAGAAACAACTATGAACATTTGACATTAAGCCCACCGAAACATTACATAAAATAGAAGACGCCAAGACAATACATGAAACAGTAGTTAATGCCTGTAGATTAATCCGCATAAACCATCAAAAATTAATCACAGCAATAGTGTTGTTTATTGGCCTCCGCACTTTTTAATCCATGGCGAAGTATTTGGCCGAATACGCGGCTACTTTACGCAGGTGGCACAGTGACTGTCACTAAAACAAACCGAAAGAAGCGAAGGCAGTATCCAGACGGCAATTCAGCGGTTGTGTACAAAGTCTATGGCCGCTCGCGTACGGATGACATCGTTTTTAAATGCAACACAGTATCGTGCGTGATGGTTGAAACCTTTCCAGAATTCCTATATTTTTATATTGTTTTTACGTAAGTTTGAAAAATGATAAACTTGAAATAACTCGACAACCAAATAAGTCAGGTGTGCGTTTTGGCAGTCATAACCAAGAATTGGTTCGGTGGTTTCTCTTTGGTTAATTGTTTTGGGGATTTGAGTACTACATGATCACACGTAATTCTAAGCCAATCAGTGGCGTAGCCACGGTGGGGGGGGGGGGGGGGGGGGGGGGGGGGGGGGGGGGGGGCGTGGGGGGGGGGGCGACAGTCCCCCCACTTAACAGGACTGCAAAGACTTAAAATGTAAAACAGCATTTTGTGCTTTTTCATAAAAATTAATGACCCTTACTGACCGTTAGGTGACCACTGGCTAAATTCTGTATACACCCTTTATGAGGCATGGTCCAAAGATGTAACTGACCAAGTTTTACATTTATTCGGTCAGCGGGGGGTATTCACCCATTATCTACCATATCTATGGGTTATTGTGCATTAACGTGTATTATCACAAAACAGAGATCACTGCGCCACCCATTCCGACCTGTGCGCGATAACCACTTATAGGAGGTGTTTGCACAGTAACGACCAGAACCAGCACCCCCAATATTTTGTATGGTCCACCTGTTTCCATTCAAATGCCCTTTTTCACCAGCGCTTCCCCCAATATTTGTAGAGAGTGTCCTTCTATTAACAAGTCCCTTTTTCTGAACAAATTAGTGCCCTTTTTAAAAAAACCCTACCCTATTTTTGTGTTAATGGCCGTTATGTGTACCTTTGTTTGAATTTCGCTTAAGTATACTGCCCAGGAAAACACCTTATATTGTCCGTTAGTGTGCATAATCGTCGGGTTTGATCAGCGCTCCCATCGATAGATGGTACCAGCCCCCCCCCCCCCCCTTAGTTTCAGTTTTGATTTAATGGAGGCCAAGAGTCTGGAGAAAAAAATCCAAACGTGTCAACATAAATAGCACGGATGTGTATAAAGTGCCCTTTTCCATACCCCCCTCCCTAATCAAAATGACCTTGCTACGCCACTGCTACACATAATCACTTACATTTGGTTACACAAGAGCACACTATCTGGTTTCCAAGATGCAACTTACACACTCCAGAAACTTGATTCACACTGCAGAAATTGACCCTTTTGGTTTAAATGGCTGCATTTCATGGTTATCGCCGTTAGACCTCCTCTCCCGTTCACGATCGGAAAAATTGCATTTCTTCCGTAAATTTACCTGCATTTATAACGATCAGAATACAACAACATACTTAGCTTATTTTAATGAACTGATCATGAAGTTGATTATATTAAGCATATTACAAAACCAAGATTAATAATGACTTTACAGATGGTTAAACATGATTTATACGGGAAAAAACTATTTTGTACCATCTGGACGAAAATATTTCCCTGTTATTTGGGACGGCCCGATTTTCAACCAGATTTAAGCCTCGCAAAGTCCAAGGAAAAAGAACTCACTGACGGACTACAACAAAGTATTTTTTTGGAGTATTCAAAAACATGATAACACGCACCCATCAAGTACTTCTTCCCCTTCGGGTGCGTCATAACTTCAATCCTAACAGTTCTGAATCCTCCAATTTGAATATGATTTTACATTTAGAGGAAAAGCATATTTTAAGGTCACAAATAGCTTCGAGCAATTGCTCGTGGTCCAAAACGTAAATATACCAACATTTGTGGGGGTATGGGAAGAGGAATACTTGAGGTTAGGGGTCATTAAAGTTGGAAACATTTCGTCGACAACCCTAGGCCTACTTACCACAAGGATGCACAGAATGGCAATGAAGATAAATGAGAATATAAACGCAACCCCTAGCGCAATCCCAGGAACGGTATTCTGAGCAGGTTTGCAGGCAATTGGTGATACTTCGTCAGCCCAAACAAGCGTTGTTCCTGAAAGAGACAAACGGCACTCAGATGCAATATCTAACTTGGTCCAATTGCTACTTGACTTGATTCAATTGATGTCTGACTTACTTCCTTGATATCTGACTTGATTTAATCGATATCTTTATACTGGAATCAGATGACCAAATCTCCGAGTTTCATTGTTTCATCACCCAATAGACCCCTTGCGTTTGACGTCACATCTGAGGACCGGTTTTTCCTCTGCGAAGTGCGATACGCATTCGTATACATTCTTTACTTTTTTTGCCAATGAATTAAAAACCCTTTTTTTAAATTTCTCATTGAGGGCGCACAGTGCAAGGGGTATATACGCCAACAACACTTCACGGGGAAGCATTTTTAATCGTGTTCCCTGAATCAATTTAATAAATTGTAGACTATTGAATGGGATGGTGACAGGCTATTTTATGATTTGAGTGCGTTCAAAGCCTCAATTTAGTTTTGGTAAATATTCGGCTTTAAATATTAGTGAAAGTTTAATCACATTTTGTAAATAATTGTTCATCAGACCATAATGTTATTAAAAACATTTTTGGTCCCCCCAAAAAGTGGGTCAAAAAAATTACGGCCTGGGGTTCGGGGCCCGCTTAAGGGCCACGAATTTTTTTTGGAATCTAAATGCTCTGTGGTGCGATCTGAGGCAATTTCTGACCACCTTAACCAATTTTTTTTAGGAAAAGATGGTGGTGTATTCATTGCCTGCCTTTATTGCGATGTCACATCAAAACAAATTAAAAAAATTGGTTTCGTTTTTTTTTGGGGGGGGGGGGGGGGGGGGCATGGCCCCCTTTGGCCCCCCCCCCCTCTGGATCCGCCCTTGTCCATAGACGAAATCATGATTCGTTATCAACAGTGTTTGCACCAAACATGACTTGAAGCTTTGCATGGCGGATGAGATAAAATAGAAAAATTGCGGGTAACAACATGTGGAAAGAAATATCTTCTTGGAAGAAGTGCGGTTCTGAAAAGAACCGGTTGGTTGAGCGTAGAACTCGACGTTATCGGACAGTGTGCTCTGTCCGTACGTCCTCAGACTGTTTTCTCAAAACGTGTAAATAACATCCACTGAGCTGAAATTTCAGGTCCTGAACATTCTTCTTTGGATTGTATTGGTGTTGATATTAGAAACGAACAAAATACACAAGAAGCAAATGATTCTATATGTATATACTGCCCCTTATGCATGGCTTTGACATGACACTTCTACCTACCTGGATTGTCGGACTGAACTTCCTCACGAGACACTATGTTGTGATGAGCTTTAGTAAAGCGTACTCTCATGTGGGCGCCTTTACCAACAGCAATCCCTATTGCCTCACACACAAATGCTTCATTATCGCCATCAACTGTTGTCACTTGGACTGATGCTGAAGTCGAATAGGTGTTGCTCCTCAACGACGCCCCTGATTGGTAGATTACAAATCGATGGATATAATTCGACAGATTTTGAAATTGATGAATCTGATTAAAAGAACATACTATTTCTAGTGTAAGAGGAAAGAAAGTTATTTGGTCTTACGTATTTGGTCTAAAAATAGAAATAATCTCAAACAGCTTGATGAGATCTCATTCCATCCAAACACCTCACATCAGCAAGCCTAAAATAGAGCCAAACCATCAGAACAGAAATGTGGGGCAGAACATGTAAAGAAGTCATCATTGAACGGCTCGGAGGTATCGATATACGGCGAGCTTGAAATGACCATCCGTGTTTATATAGTACCGCATTTCCAGGATACGGAAAATCGGGTGGTTACTTTGCGCCTCCGTATAATATGTGTAGTAGGGTTTAAAGACGACTTGTTCCTTTCTGGGAGTATAATAAGGCGAACAGTCAAACAAAACAGCAATATACAGCATTACGTTGGGAAGAATGCTGCTTACCAGTGTAGGTGGGTAGAACTTCAGGCCAGACTGATGTGGAGGCCTTGAGTTCCGTCTTCCCGCCCAAAAATAGGTGGAGCCATCTCAGTTCAACTGCAGGTTTGACCTGCTCCATGACGCAGGTCAGGTTATGCACCGTGCTGTCGTGTCGTACTCTCATCTCACACGTGTCTGCGTCGTGGTCTTGATTGCAGCCGATGACGGTAGGATACGGACGTCTTGGGGAAACTGTTGGTGGGAAGAGTTCAGAAAGTAAACAGTTAACGTGGCTGTAAAATAATAATAATAATAACAATAATTCGCGTCAAAACGGTTTTTGGGGAATGGGGATGTAATAATTCTACATTCGCTATTCGGGGCATAAACAGACGCGACTCGAAGTTTACCTACGTTTACATGTTGCAAAAATTATATTTTTACATTTTCGCGTGCTAATTTTTGGCGCTGTGATATTAGACGGTTGCATGGAATCAATCCCTGACACAATGTAATTTGAGCTACCCGGCCCTCACAGTCCACCATTCACCCCAGATTAACCCCTGGTATCACTCCGGCCCTATAAACAGCCAATAAAACCAGCCACTAACCTCCTCAATGCCATTTGACAGTTCCATTTTGGCCACAGGGGTGATCGAGGTAATCCCTATGTGAACAATGCATTTGTACACAAGCCTATGTAATTGCGCACAAGCACACTAGGTTTTCCCGCCAATTTCCAACCCCTCCAGAAGGATCACAAGACTTACACCCCCTCTAGTGGATGTACCATGGTCCATACTAGGATTTTTTGGCGCTGTGATATTAGACGGTTGCATGGAATCAATCCCTGACACAATGTAATTTGAGCTACCCGGCCCTCAAAGTCCACCATTCACCCCAGATTAACCCCTGGTATCACTCCGGCCCTAAACAGTCAATAAAACCAGACACTAATCTCCTCAATGCCATTTGACAATTCCATTTTGGCCACAGGGGTGATCGAGGTAATCCCTATGTGAACAATGCATTTGTACACAAGCCTATGTAAATGCGCACAAGCACACTAGGTTTTCCCGCCAATTTCCAACCCCTCCAGTAGGATCACAAGACTTACACCCCCTCTAGTGGATGTACCATGGTCCATACTAGGATCTAGTGATAGATGACCTGGGCATGGCTACCACGTGGCTGGGACAATAAAAAACAAAGAAATGTGGAAGTGAGTTTATTCACACTGACTCCAGGTAATTAAATTTAAGTAAAGTTTATCAATTGCTTTTATAGACAATTTGTTTTCTACGATGGTCGAGCGCCCTCATTCACTAAAAAAATGGCCAATTAAGCCAAAGATTTGGAAATCAGATCAGATCACGGCGTATAATCGCTCACCCTTGACACAAACTTCAACTTGTCCCTCTTCTATCTCCAAATGTGGTTTCAACTTCCAAAAGTAGGTTCCCTCATTGGAGGCGGTGACGTTCTCAATGACGAGACTGAACTCACTGTCGATATCATAGACGCCCTCTGGGATCCCGTTTTGGGGAGCCACTCTTCCCAAGAAGTACGAGATGAGCAGGGATGTCCTGCTGGTTGAATCATAGTACCAGTACATTGCGTCGATGTGTTTTCGGGAGATTTGGCGAGATTCGACGAGAGGACAGGGCACGATCCCTCTGCTGCCTCGTTCCAAGAACATTGTTCCATCAGTGATCGCTAGGACGAATCCGCCTGAAACAAGATATCTGATTTTTTTTAAATCGTCTAAATCTCTTGCTTTGCAAAAATATTCCTGGAGTCTTGCTGTTCTTACACTAAAGGCAAATGCGTCTTGACATTCAATGTAGTCCAATCAAATGAAGTCAATTTTGATTTAAAGTCCAATTTTTTTTTTAATGTGAACCAAAAGACATCCAGATTTGCCCTCATGATTGTGTGTGAATGCAGTTACAAATTAAACAAATATTAAGAGAAAATTACAATATGGGTAAACCATTGCAGTAGTGAACAAAGCTTGGTTCAGTGATTTCTCCCAGTGATGTATTAGGATTTACCGAACGGTATTTGCCCGTAATACCCACATTGGCATTTCCCGTCTAATCCCCAAGCTCTTTATTTGATAGATTCGAACTACAAAACATTGCGATTTATAATGAATTGAGATTACATAATGTACTTACAGTATATCAAAAATGATAGCCACTGCATTTCTCATCAGTTTGTTGTCTCTGTAAATGAAAGCAAAACTGCAAACATACCGGTACCATATTATTGATATTTTATTACTGTAACATCTTTTATAAGCCTTGTGGAACATTAAAGACCTTTTACTTGTAAATCCTTGCCATGAATTAGGCCATGTTGAGACCCCAAATTCGATGTGTTATACGCTATAGAAATGGTTACGTCATATAACCAGTCCTGTTTGTCGTTGACGAGCGACGAACGTCACGGACAAATGCGGACGGTCTTTCTGGGTCCGTTTCTTGTTTCTAAAACTTTGTAAATGGAAACATTTAAGTTAATCGTTTTAGAGATGGAAGGAAAACCCCAGAATTTTTCTTGTCAGAAAACATGGAATGAGGTAATAGGCCATCAGCTGGGAGGTTTGGTCAGTATTAAATCAGGGCATAAAAGATTACAGTGCACATGCGCAAGGTATACCGCCCCTAGAGTGGTAACAAGCATTTTGATGGACATTTTGAAAAAAAAGGGTGATAACACCCAAAAGCTGCCTCCGCGGCTGCAATGCTATCACATATTTTCCAACTCTGGAGGTGTATACCTTGCCAAAAGCCGCTTTTTTAATTGACGATTATTCCCCTCATTTGATATCGGTGGACAAAAGTTTTGACCGAGGCTGATGGCCTATAAGACTGAAAACCAAATCCATGTGTGGACTAGGGCAGGAATCGAATCTTGGACATAGAGGTGGAACTGGAAGGCAAGTACAAACCACTGCGCTGATCATTGGGTCAATGAAACATCCCAAGTACTATCTTAGCTCCCTGGGGAGGATACAGATTGATGCTACCATTCCGGCGCAAGCAGCTAAAACCAATCACAGTTACCATAACAGTTTATCATTATTCGTCCTGCTTTACACTTCTTCTTACCGTATGAAATAATGAATCCATTAACAAGCACACTGTAAATACGTCACAAGTCCTGCTTACCGATACAAAGTGAGATAGTTGACACAAGGTCCTTCTGAAGCAGGTGTTCTAGTATGTATGGCCAATTAGTCGTTACTCTAGGTAGACTTCAAGTTCGATGTTAGAAAAGATCCCAAAGGCACTGTTGAGGGAAGAGCGAGTGAAGCCTGTGTGATCACGGAAGAGCGAGTTGTATAGCTATGTCGGTATGTGGGTGAAGGTTGCTTATGTAGCCCATGACCAGGTGTCTATCATGAAGTCTGTTATGTTGAGATAGAATTGCAGCCTTTGATCTCAACACACTTATCATGATTAATAATCAATTTATTCGTTTATTTGCTTTTATCACTGGGCAGTTGGCAAACAACGTACAATCAACATGAGTGTTTTGTTTTCAAGCTTGTTTATGTCCGGTTCGGTCTTGTCTCTGACTCGATAATCCTTAATAACAATATCAAACCAAATGGAAACTCTCAAAGACGGCGTCATATTATAGGACTTGATGTTCCCTGAAGCAGAACACGAACAGACATGTTGAACTGAAGTCCCTCAACTAATGGGCGTACAAATCGTATGAAAAAGCTGAAGATTGAGAAGAGAGATAAACCTCGTAAACATTTCTAGCCCCACTCTCCTGCAGAAGCCCGATTGAAAGTTCTGTGTGTTTCGAATAATCGGTCGGGATACCACTATACCAGCAGTGAATCTTGTAACCCATTAAGGCATAAATTGCAACGACCGAAAGCAGAATAATTTCAAACCAATCACATGTCATGAGTCTATTCTATTCTTTGTTGTCATAAATAAGAGACTCTATAATGGTCATAATTAAATTACATAATTCATAACAAGAAATTATCCTTGAAATAAAATATTATTGGCCTAAAATCCACAGCTTATTTCAATTGAAGAATTGATGTTTTTAGAATGTATATAAATTCCACTATGCTTTTATCAAATGAGACCCCAATCATATAGGCACACGCGCACACAACCTTTTATGCATACTATACTTGCGAGAAAGACCTTGTTTCCCTTTTTTTGCTCCCCTTTGTTTCTGTTGGAATCTTCAACTCCCTTTTTCTTAATGACAAAATTTGGGGCAGATTGTCCGTATTGTGCTTACTGCCTCATAAGGAACAACGGGTATACTTTGGAACAGTGGCGTAGCCAAGGGGGGCGTGGGGGCGACAGCCCCCCCATGAAACCTCGTCGCCCCCCCCAGTCGCCCCCCCCCCCTGAGATTTTGATTTAAAAAAAAAAAATTCATTGATCTACATGAGGCCCCCCATGAAATGTTCCAGCCCCCAGCGCCCCCCCCCCTGAAAAATTCCTGGCTACGCTTCTGCTTTGGAACAATTGTTAACGTCAATGAATGACACTATCAACATCGTAAAGAAAAGCGATAACCTTTTACACACCCCTACCAAAAACAAACTAACAAACATCCCAACACCCCAACAAACAAACACCCCAACAAACACCCCAACTAACTAACTCACTAACTAACAAACAAACGAGCCAGCCAGCCAGCAAGCCAGCAAGCAAGCAAGCACACCAACACCCCAAGCAACCTTACAATCAACCAAACAAACACTCAAAACAACCGCAAAAATAAAATAAACAAAGAAACACGACCCAACAGAAACAGAGTTTTATCGAACTACTTGTCCGTTGAGGAGAACCCATATCCTACGTGACAAGTGAGGGCAGGGTCCGGAATGAGTTGGACTCCCTGTGTGTGGTGATTGATATATATTTATGACAGCTTGTCAATTCCTGAATACAAACATAAGCAAACATAAGCACCCATACATATTTGCAGAGTCTATTCTTATCTTTATAAACGGAGAAAATAAGATAATAAAAAAAAAAATGTTCACCGAAAAACATCACTGAATCGTTCTGGGTTGACAACAAAAATACACATTACTTTACATAAGGCCCCCAAAAAGGTCTCCGGTTTCTGGTATGGAGCTTGCCCAAAAAGTGGTGCGGCGACGCGGCTTTTTTTTTTTTTACCTGTTTTATGTGTGCTTCAATTGTCGGCTGATGACTGCAAATGGTGCTCGACTAAACTTAGTGCAAATATTATGGGAGACCAGAGAGGCCATATAAAGCTTATTCTTGATCATAACCCCATCTAAAACACATTAAAATTGTGCAGCAGCAGGATTCCAGTCAAACCAGTGAGTTTGGCGGTTTTGAGACATCATCTTTCATTAAAAAAAAAACTTTTTCAATTTGCCGACGCACATGGCTAAGGCGACGCGCGCGCATACCAGAAACCGGAGCCTTTTTTTGGCCTAAAACAAGTTTAGTCCATTTCAGAAATGTTCATCAGCCATTGGTATAGGTCTTTGTGTATAGAAGAACCAACACATCAATTAGGCCTACAATACATTAATTAATTAATGAATTAATCGACTTTGTATCATGATTTGTATAGGCCTCTATACTTTATTTAAATTGAATGTAGAACATGCGAATTTAAAAAATAATTTTTGTTATTTTGTTATAATCGGCAACGTCGACGTCAAACCGAAAGCTCAATCGCGTATTTTGCAATCCTTTAAATATAACGTTCCGCACGTTCATTTATCATGATGCTAAATGAAATCGAAAGCCATTTATTGCGAAAATGAACCTGGATATACGTGGTTCTCAAAATCATCGCCAAATTGAATATATCTTTTACAAATTCAAATGCACATTTTCCTAAATTGTCTGGAAAACCTAGAGCAGGTGTGAGATAACTGTATGTTGGAGGTGATAATCAGTTAACACCCCTACCCCCCTTTTTGTATCCACCGCACTGGCCGTATTTGTGAGCTATGGCAATGGTCCCAACCATGTTGGGACAGTCCCAACATATTGTCACAATCATTAATTGCCATGTAGTGTATTGCAATACACTATATCACAACCTCATTTCCCCAAAAGAGATGGGGTCCCTTATTTGGTCCCTTTATCAGGCCAATTTCCTTCTGTTTGTTTGTCTTGTGTCGATTACTTTTATTTGTTGGCCGTTATATTTGGCTTGTACTTGTACCATACAAGGCCTATATCTACTACAAGCTATACCATTTTTTTTAACGCAGGTGAAAAAAAAGCCCAACATAAAAGTATACCTTTTCAGCAAATGCTTACATTAACAACTGTTGATTGTATTTAATGGTCAAAGTCGGAGCAGATATCGGGATAACTACACAATGTACCAATTAGGCCTAAAGTATTAGGGGATGACGACTTCCTGAAAATATGATGTCGTCATCCCATTATAAATTACCTCAGGATATCATCGTGCCAAAATAGATAGTCTTAAGATGTCGTCATCCTATATTCAGGATGTCGTCATGCCATTAATTTATGTAAAGATGTCGTCATCCTACTCTGAGGATGTCGTCATCCCCTAACAAATTATCTCAAGATGTCGGCACCTTTCCTGTATTTTGTCGTCATCCTGAGATAAAATAAGTCAGTATCTGAACAAGTCGGATGGCACTTCCAGAGCTCCGTAATAAACCAAATAGCAAAGCAATCTCATTAAATAGAAACACTCAGAGAGCGCACACCTCCGCCAAGGCTAAATCTACTCGATTTGTACCCCTCTATACAATTACATATGCCTGTGTTGGGCTACCTTTCCACTCCCTCATTGTATAAAATGGTAAAGTCCATTGACATGTGTGGTTAGATTAAGTGGATGATGAGTAATGTCTAGCCCAGCCCATGGCTACTCTCATCCAGCCCAACCCAACCCAACCCAACCCAACCCAATCCAACCCAACCCAATCCAGCCCAACCCTGCCCAGTTCAGCCCAGCCCTTTTCAGTCCAGCCCTCTCTAATGCAATCCAGCCCAGCCAAGCCAAGGCCAGCCCCGCCCGGCCCATCCCCACCCCGTGCCTGACATGCCAACCTATGGAGTAGCCCAGCCCAGCCCCACTCCGCTATAAAGCCAAGCCCGTCCCTTCTCATCCCATCTCATTCCATCCCAACCCAACCCACCCCAGCAAACCGCAGTCCAGCCTAAATCCCATCCCAGTCCATCAGCCTATCTTAACCCAGCCCAGCCCAGACCAGCCCAGTACAACCCAGCCTATAGCCAAGCACAGCCAAATCGAGCCCATTGCATACAGCAGACCACACCTTCACCACTTAACATCATGATCATAATTCAAACTAAGTTTTTCTTCGTTTCGTCACATCAGTGACAGTCCGTGCGGCCAATCAGGGTGTAACCTTTGCCTGTTTCTTCGTTCAGGCAAGAAGCCAATCAGACTCGGCTCAGACGAATGCTCTTGGAACGTTCAGCAGCGTTCCTCAAGGATCGCAAGTTCTTGCCTGCACCTCTGCCGCGGTGAGAAGGCTACTCAATTTCTTGACTTAATATGCTATTTCCATTTTAAATCAAGCGCTCATCCTCAGAACAAAATTTTTGTACCATTCACTCATCAGGAGCCCATCATCCGATAAACTTTTGTTCTTGGTGCTTTATTGTTTTCATGCTTTAGTGGTCAGTTCGTTTGCTTATAAATTAAGCGATCAGAAATTTGGTTGTTCTCTTAATTATAATCGAAAGTGACAATATTCACTCTATATCCAACCATGGGGAAATTAAACGATAAGCATATTCGAGGTATGGCAGACACAATATAGAGGGCGCTGTTTGATTTTGTGAAGTCTTTTGTATTTACCCAAACTAAGAGGCGCCTTCATATGCCTCAAATAGCTCGTAATAACTAATGGAGGAATTCTTCCAAGACATTTTAGAGTTAAATTTATTCAATCGATTATATTTCCATTCCACTTTCAACCCTTTCAATCTAACGGTATTTTTTTTCACTCTAAATTGTTGCTCGGTTGAAAGCGAGTGTTTATCAGTTGACTGTTTCGTTGCGTGGTCGAGCTGACTATATTAGAGACGTGTTTCGGTTCTTCAGTTAGTCAGCCGGTCGTTCGGTCGGTTGGTTATTGGGCTTGAGTTCCTATGAAAGTTTGAGCCATCGTGTTTATCTGATTGGTCCTATAGGGAGCCTGGTCCCACAACAACAAGAATGCCAAGAGGGAGATCACTGCAACGTGGATGCCGCCATCCGATGATCAAGGATCTGTTGCATTCCAGTAAGTGTTGCTGAAGCTATTCTGTGTATTTAGTTGTCACAAATGTACGGCTCATTAAAACACAAATGTCTTCGGAAGCAGAATTCTTCGTAAAATTGTCCTTTAAAAGCAAGATAACTCTTGTCATCTCCAGGGCAACCATCGTGAGGGGTCCAGCCAGCGTTTACTGGGAAGGCGTGAAATCACAGCCTCTGTCGTACAGTGCTGCACCTAGCCTGGGTATGTATACGGCAGGCCTGTGCGTTGGAATTTGGGAGATTTCCCAGAAGGAGGTTCGGTGAAAAATTTCGTCAAAATCTTCTAACTGTATTAAACACCCAGACTCTTCTTGGAAAATGTTGAGTAAAAACGAATTTTATCCCACTAAGTTCACTTTCTGTCTACAAAGTTGAGGAGTTTATCATTAAACAATTTCAGGGGCGATGGGCATATTTTTTGTAAAAAAACATGCGTTTTTAAACAGGAGATAGCTATATAGGTTGATGTACGAACCTCAGGTTTGGATATTATTTGACCAGCTAAATCTACAACGACAAAGGTGCACTCTAAAAAAGCATTAGTCAGATTTGACTAGAAACCAGTCAAATTTGACTAGCCATTCAGGGTCAGCTGGGTGCAACTGAAAATCAGTCAATCTGACTAGATTTTTCCAGTCAGTATTATTGACTTTGGAAAAATAGTTATGCAAAAAACTGAAATTGGAGTCGAACCCAACTACGTTTCTAGTCATAGTATGGAACTTTGCATGTTTAACTAAATTCCTAGTCAATTTCCAATAACTGGGAAAACCAGTCAATATTTTGACTAAGTTGTTTTTAGAGTGTGTGAGCTGAAGTTCAAACGTTGCTTGAATTATTACTGGGTGCCAGTAACTTATCACAACCGTCTTTGGCAATGATGATGTGACATGACGCCATCTAAAGGGTGCCCTCCTGACATATTCTGATGCTTTTCCCTTAAAAAAAAGCTTTTGGAACAAACCAAACGAAATGTGTGTTATCATATCATGCCATCCGTAAAACTTTTTGGGACCCACCGAATTCTCGCCAAAAACTTCGTTTTCTGAGTAGGATATCACCACAATATTTCTTCTTAAAAGTAGCCCAAAGATTTGAAAGCAAGCTCTTAATATTTCTTATTGTTTTCTTGCAGTTTCAAGCAGCATCTTCCTCTTGACTTTAGCCGTGTTCTGGGCGATGATGGCGTGACTGTGATTAACGGTGGACGTCTATACCGCCCTCTTGTGATATCATCTGGACAAAAATAATCGTCTTATTCGGAAACCTGCCTCACTCTTTTCGGGAGATTCTGATGAATGGTGCGATGACCCAAAGAAGCGTCAATTTCCAAAAGGGCAACTACAGACAAGTGATTATTGATTATTCAAGCTTTTTTATTGCGAAAAGCTGCATCAAGGAACAAATACTCGGACATAGAAAAAATTCTCAAGTTGCTTTTGCTTATTGCTAAATTGCCACTATTCCGGAAAACAAATACTAGTAAATTGCATTTAAACACTATTTAACCATATAAAACAGAGAGGCTTACTGAAAAGATTTATAAACTGTTTTAAATTCATTTACTTTCAACATAAAGGGCTTCATCTTATTTTCCATCCCAGGAAAGGCTACTGGCATTTTTCTCCAAGTCAGATTTCCATGCTGAACTTGCTGGTGCTGTCAACGTCGTTTTTATTCCCTTGGTCAGGTACTGCTGTCTTGTCACATTTTGATATTAACTTGAAGATAATGGATAAAAACATTTTCCCCAAATTTATGAAATATGAAATCTGCTTCAGCATTATATTCGTTAATTGAAAGTTTTTAAAACATGAAATTAATTATATTAATTAGTATTACTTGTTAAGAATACTGAGTTACTTTGTATAAAACAACAAAAGAAAAACCGGAAAAAAGCATCGCAGGTAAGAAAAGTAGCAGAGAAAATAAAAAACCAACTAACTGTACAAATTTCAGTCAACTTTTAGGTTCACTGAACTACTTCAACATACATCCCCATACTCATTCATAATATTGACCTGTACAATCAATATATAATAACAACTTTTCGATTTCTGTTTTGTGTTAATACAAGTCAATGCACAAAAACCCATATATATATCAGGAAATACTAAAGCAGATTGAAAATATTCACATTCATATAAAATTGCATTGTACAACTACTGAAGTCCCTTTTCAAAGAGAGATTTTGTCATTTGATATCCTCTTAAAAATACTTATCATCGGCAAGCAATCAAAACACATTTCAGTAGGCCTACTTGTAAGATCATATTTTCAATTCATTCTTAAGGCCAGAGTTTTACTTTCTTCACATAGGCATAGCCAGCGGCGGTTTACCCCCCCCCCTAATATTTGTAATGTCTGCCCGTTTCCATTTAAATGCCTTTTTTTTTTACCAGCGCTCCCCCAATATCTGTATTAACGATTCCTTTTTTTGTGAACAAGTGCCCTTCTTCAAAAAAATCCTGCCCTATTTTTGTGCCAGCGGCCGTTCTGTGTGCCTTTGTTTGAATTTCGCGCACGTATTGCTCAGGAAAACACCTTATATTGTCCGTTAGTGTGCATAATCGTCGGTTTTGAACAGTGCTCTAATCGATATATGGTACCAGCCCCCCCTTTCAGTTTTGATTTTACGGAGGCCAAGAGTCTGGAGAAAAAAGACCCGTGTCAACATAAATAGCACGGATGTGTCAGTGCCCTTTTCCATACTCCCCCCCCCCCCCCCAATCAAAATGACCTTGCTATGCCACTGCTACACATAATCACTTACATTTGGTTACACAAGAGCACACGATCTGGTTTCCAAGATGCAACTTACACACTCCAGAAACTTGATTCACACTTCAGAAATTGACCCTTTTGGTTTAATTGGCTGCATTTCCTGGTCATCGTCAGCCGCTCTCACTTGTGCGTCAGGCCTCCTCTCCCATGCAGGACTCCATTTAATACATTTCTTCTCTGAATATACCTGCATTTATAACAATCAGTATAGAAACAACATACTAAGCTTTTTATAATGACCTGATCATGAAGTTGATTACATTAAGCATATTACAAAATATCAATTTATGACTAATAATGACTTAACCGGTGGGTTAAAACATGTTTTTTTACGGAAAAAACTATTTTGTACCATCCGGACGAAAATATTTCCCTGTTAACGCTAGTTGGGACGGCCCGATTTCAACCAGATTTCAGCCCCACACGCGCACGTACGTAAGTCCTTGGAAAAAGAACTCATTGACTGACTACAACAAATATGTTTTGGAGTATTCAAAAACAAACTATCACATGACCATGAAGTACCTCTTCCCCAACCTCGTCCCCAGGGTGTCGAGCAGTACACGCCCACCACTTTACCTGCTCTCTCACCCTGGTATTGGATCATTTGCATGTGCAAACTTTTTGCACACGTATGCAAATGAGGAATAGTCTGGTGCCTGACTGTACGTTACATTAGCATTTGTTTTTGTATGCGGTGTCTGGGGTAAAAACACAATCAACTCGTCGCGCCGTGAGTTACGAAAACACGATTGTTTTCGAAGTTAATATACGGATACGGTTACAAACTTATTCCGCCAATATGCAATATCACATTTCATATAAATATGAACAAATTGGAAGGGAAATGAGCAATTTTGAGAAGGCGTGGACGTTATAATTACAATGATCGTGAAAACACATAATGCACTGAAAGTAGCAACACCAACTGCACGATATTAGTCCATTACTAACCAATTGCGGTATCGAATCAGGACACAGAAGGAAAGTTTTCTATCCAAGGCTTACTATTGGAAACGAGGTTGGAAATAAAGTAAGCACTGGGGACGAGGTTGCCTCTTCCCTCCCCCTCCGGTAAATCACAACTTCTATTTATAGGCGAAGCAAATTTAAATGTCACAAATAGCCCCGAGCAATTGCTCGTGGTCCAAAACATAAACATACCAACATTTTGTAGGGTAGGAAAAGGGATAAATTATTAGGAGTCATTAAAGTTGGAAACATTTTGTCCACAACCCTACTTACCATGCGGATGCACAGAATGGCAATGAAGATCAATGCGACTATCAACCCGACCTCTAGCGCATTCACATAAACGGCATTCTCAGCAGGTTTGTTGGCAGTTGGTGTACCTTTGTCAGCCCAAACAAGCGTTGTTCCTGAAAGAGACAAACGGCACTCAGATGCAATATCTGACTAGGTTCAATTGATGACTGACTTACTTCAATTGATATCTGACTTGATTCAATCGATATCTTTATACTGGAAATATGACCCAATCTCCGAGTTTTATTGTTCCATTACCCAAATAGACCCCTTACGTCTGACGTCACATCTGAGGACCTTTGTTTTTTTCATCTGCGATGTGCGATACGCATTCGTATACATTTTTATTGCCACTGAATTTAATAAAACAAAAATATGTCTGATTGAGGGCGCACTGTGCAAGGGGTCTATACGCCAACAACACTTCAAGTTTGGGGAAGGAATTTTCATTCGTGTTCCCTGAATCAATTTAACAAATTGTAAGCTCTTGAATGGGATGGTGCCAGGCTATTTTTTAATTGGAGTGCGTTCCAAGCCTCAATTTAGTTTTGTTAAACATTCTAAACATGGTTCAACGAGAGAAAACAGCATTAACAAACCCGTAGGTACATCAGTGACAATACGGAATCACGGACGGTCAGTTTTAAGGCAGGATCGTTTGCATTTTCCCAACACGGAATTTAAACTATTGTTAAAAGACTAAATTTGGTTAAAGGATCATACCAGTGAAATTAGTTCCGTCTGGATTGCTATCATTTAGAAGAGACAACTGTCTTTTTTGGAAAGAAAAAGAGTACTACATAGACGAAATCATGATACGTGATCAGAATTAATATCCACTGACAGAGTTAAAATGTCAGGTTCTGTATACATTCTTCTTTGGATTGTATTGGTGTTGATACAGGAAACGAAAAAAATACATAAGAAGCAAATGATTCCATATGTATATACTGCCCCTTATGCATGGCTTTGACATGACACTTCTACCTACCTGGATTGTCGGACTGAACTTCCTCATGAGACACTGTGGTAAGATGAGCTTTGGTAACGCGTACTCTCATGCGTGCGCCTTTATCACCAACAGCAGCCCCTATTGCCTTACACTCGAATACTTCATTAACGCCATTAACTGTTGTCACTTGGACTGATGCTGAAGTCGAAAAGGTGTTGTTCCGCAACGATGCCCCTGATTGGTAGATTACAAATCGGTAGATATATTGCGATAGATTGTGAAATTAATGAATCTAATTACAGGAACGTACTATTTCTAGTGTAAGAGGAAAGAACGTTCTTTGGTCTTACGTATTTGGTCTAAAAATAGAAATAATCTCAAACAGCTTGATGAGATCTCATTCCATACAAACACCTTACATCAGCAAGCCCACTAGGGCAAACCATCAGAACAGATATGTGGCGCCGAACATGTAAAGAAATCATCATTGAACGGCTCGGAGATATCGATGTACGGCAACCTTGAAATAACCATCCCTGTTATATATTACCGCATTTCCAGGATATGGAAAATCGGGTGGTTACTTTGCGCTTCCGTATAATATGTGTAGTAGGGTTTAAGGACGACATGTTCCTTTCTGAGAATTTAATTAGGCGAACAGTCAAACCAAACAGCAATATACAGCATTATGTTTGGAAGAATGCTGCTTACCAGTGTAGGCGGGTAGAACTTCACGCCAGACTGAAGTGGAGGCGTTGAGTTCCGTCTTCCCGCCCAAAAACAGATGGATCCATCTCAGTTCAACAGCAGGTTTAACCTGCTCCGTGACGCAGGTCAGGTTATGCACCGTGCTGTCGTGTCGTACTCTCATCTCGCATGTGTCCGTGTCGTGGTCTTGATTGCAGCCGTTGACGGTAGGATATGAACGACTTGGGGAGACTGGTGGGAATTTGAGAAAGTCAATAGTTAACGTGGCTGTATAATAATAATAAGAAGACTGACGTACGTTTACATGTTGCTAAAATTCAAAAATGATATTTTTACAATATTTTTTTGTTAAATTTAAGTAAAGTTCATAAATTACTTCATAAACAATTTGTTTTCTACGATGGTCGAGCGCCCTCATTCGCTAAAAATATGGCTAAATAAGCCAAAGATTTGGAAATCAGATCAGATCACCGCGTATAGTCGTCAAAGAGATCGTAAAGGGGACGAATCAGCTCTTTATGGAAGTCAGGAGTCCAGGAAGGAGATTTAAGTTTTAAGTGACAATCATAATAATCACCCACCCTTGTCACAAACTTCAACCTTTCCTTCTTGTATCATTTTCAAGTGTGGTTTCAGCTTAAAGTAGTAGGTTCCCTCATTGGAGGCAGTGACGTTCTCAATGATGAGATTGAACTCATTGTCGATATCATAGACGCCCTCTTGGATCCCGTTTTGGGGAGCCACTCTTCCCTTGAAGTACGAGATGAGGATGGCTGTGTTGCTTATTGAGCCATAGAGCCAGTACATCGCGTCAACGTTTTCTCGGGAGATTTTGCGAGATTTCGCGAGAGGACAGGGAACGATCCCTCTGCTGCCTCGTTCCAAGAACACGGTTGCATCAGTGAACGCTAGGACAAATCCGCCTGAAACAAAAAATGATATCTGATTTTATTTTAAATCGTCTAAATCTCTTGCTCCGCAAAAAATATTCCTGGAGTTTTGCTGCTTTTATTAAAGGCAAATGCATTTTGACATTAATGTAGTCCAATCAAATGCAGTCAAATTTACTTTAAAGTCCAATGTTTTTTTTTTAAATGTGAACCAAAAGACATCCAGATTTGCCCTTATGATTTTGTGCAAATGCAGTTACGAATAAAAACATATCAAGGGAAAACCATTGCAGAAGTACACAAAGCGTGGTTCAGTGATTTCACCCAATGATGTATTAGGATTTACCGAACAGTATTTGCCATATAGTACCCACGTCGGTATTTCCGTCCATTAACCAAGCTCTTTATTTGATAAATTGGAACTACAAAACATTGCGATCTATAATAAATTGAGATTACATAATGTACTTACAGCATATCAACAACGATAGCCACTGCATATTTCTCATCAGTTTGTTGTCTCTGTAAATAAAAGCAAAACTGCAAACATACCACCATATATTTATATTATTGATATTTTATTACATCTATAACCTTGTGAAATATTAAAGACCTTTTACTTTTCAATCCTTGCCATGAATAAGGCCATGCTGAGGCCCCATGCTGATGGCAACATTTAACTTAATCGTTTTAGAGATGGGAGGAAAACCCCAGAATTTTCTTGTAAATAAAATAGAATGAGGTAAGACTAAAAACCAAATGCATGTGTGGACTAGGGCAGGAATCGATTCTGGGCCACAGAGGTGGAAGTGGAAGGCTAGTTACAAACCACTGCGCTGATCATTGGGTCAATAAAACATCCCAAATACAATCTCAGCTCCCTGGGGAAGATACAGATTGATGCTGCCATTCCGGCGCAAGCAGCTAAAACCAATCACAATTATCATAACAGTTTATCATTATTAGTCCTGTTTACAATTCTTCTTAATTAACAGTGGCGTCACCAGACGACTTTTCAGTCTGGGGGGGGGGGGGGGGGGGCACAGGGGGGGGGGGGCACCAGCATTTGATGGGGGGGGGGCACTTAGGTGGATACGGATCGCCGTCCTGGGGGAGGGGTCTAAGGGAAATTTTCGCATACGGAGGATGGGCTAGATGCAAAATGGTGCCACATTTGATGCTAAATTCGATCTGAAGATATCTCAAGAAATTGCTATTTTTGAGGTAATGATTAAACAACGCGCAGAATTTTGCAGAGGATAGGGGGGCACCAGCATTTGATGGGGGGGGGGGGCACTCGGGGGGCACTAGGTTTTCCAGGGGGGGGGGGGGGCACGTGCCCCCCCTGGCCCCCCCCCCCCCTTGGCGACGCCACTGTTCATTAACTCTTATCAATGTGAAATAATGCACCCACCAACAAGCATACTGTAAATACGTCACAAGTCCTGCTTACCGATACAAAGTGAGATAGTTGACACAAGGTCCTTCAGATGCAGGTGATCTTGTATTTATGGCCAATGAGTCGTTACTCTAGGTAGACTTCAAGTTCGATGTTAGAAAAGATCCCAAGGGAACTGGTGAGGGAGCGCGAGTTGTAGCTATGTGGATATGTGGGTGAGGGTTGCTTATATAGCCCCGATCACGTGTCATATCGTGACACCTGATCTGCTATCTGCTCAGTATGTTGACATATTGATTTACAGCCTTAATTTGATGTCAACACACTTATAATATTACTTGTTTGCCTTCGTACTAAGTAACAAGTTAGACTAAACACCGAGGAGGGAAATCACAGTTTCAGTGGTGGAAGGGAAAATATAGAAATGACATTACAGGCAAAACAAAGGAATCAGGTAGGGATTGAAAATCTACACTGATTCACTGAGGTGGAAAGTATCACTACGCCAACATGAGTGTTTTGTTTTCAACCTAGGCTTTATGTCCGGTGCGGTCTTGTCTCCGACTCGATAATAATTAATAACAATATCAAACAAATGGACACACTGAAAGTCGGTGTCATGTTATAGGATTCGATGTTCCCTGAAGCAGAACACGAACAAAGATTTTGAGCTGATGAAGTCCCTCAACTGTAATGGGCTTAAAAATTGCATTAAAAAGCTGAAGATTGCGAAGAGAGATAAACCTCGTGAAGGTTTCTAGCCCCACTCCCATTCAGAGGCCCGATTGAAAGTTCTCTGTGTTTCGAATAATCGGTCAGGACTCTTTATACCAGCACAGAGTCAAGTGTATCTTGAAACCCATTAAGGCATAAATTGCAACGACCGAAAGCAGAATAATTTCAAACCAAACACATTTACTCACATAGGTCTATTCTATTAAATTTGCACGATATTCTTTGTTGTCATAAATAGTAGACTCTATAATGGTCATAATTAAATTAGAAAGTTTATAACAAAAGAAATTATCCTTTAAATAAAACATTATGGGCCTAAAATCCATAGCTTATATCAAGTGAAGAATTGATGTTTTTAGAATGTTTATAAATTCCACTTTGCTTTTATCAAATGAGACCCCTATGGGCACACGCGCACACAACCTTTTATGCATTATTATACTTGCGTGAAAGACGTTTATTTCCCTTTTTTGCTCCCCTTTGTTTGTGTTGGAATCTTAAACTCCGTTTTTAACTATTTCTATATAAAGAGAGACTTGTGAAGTAGAGTGTGATATTGGGCTTACTGCTCCATAAGAGACAACGGGTATGAACTTTATACGCCACTGTCAACATCGTCAACAAAAGCAATAGCCTTTTGACACACCATTACCAAAATTAACCAAAAAAAACCCTAACAATCAACTTAACAGACACCCTAGAAATAAACGTACCAATAAAAAGAAACGAAGAAACAATTAAGAAACACAACCCAACAAAAATAGACTTTTATCGCCCTACTTGTCCGTTAAGGAGAACATGTGATCCTACGTGATCGATAATTGAGGGCAGGGTCCGGAATAATTGGTGTGTGGCGATTTTTTGATATTTACAACAGCTTGCCATACATACCTACTATCAGCAATCTGGATAGCTTCAAGTGGGAGGTGCATCGCTATCTGGGCGACAAGCGATCAGCACCCCTAAATAGTCCTGAATCCTCCAAATTCAGTACAATTTTGCACATCCCCTATGGAGTAAGGCTCCCTTTAACCCCATTGATTAATTAATGAATTAATCGAATTTGTAACATGATTTGTATAGGCCTGTATACTTTATTTAAATTGAATGCATTATATGCGAATTTAAAAAAATTACACAATAATAAATGAAAAGAATGTTTAATTCAGCTAGCCCGTGTCACAATTAAAAAAAAAAAAAAAAAAAACATTTTCTGCAAATTGGATTGCACATTTGTAATAATCGGCAACGCATCCATCAAACCGAAATTTTGTATTTGTAATTCTTTAAATGAAACGTTATGCACATTCATTGATTTAAACGATGCAAAATGAATCGAATACTAGTTATTGCGAAAATGAAACCTGGATGTACGTCGTTCTCAAAATCATCACCAAATTGCAATTACAAATGCACATTTTCCAAAACTGTAGGTGTGAGATAACTGTATGTTGGGGGTGATAATCAGTTCCCCCCCTTTTTGTATCCACCGCACTGTCTTCAATTTGTGTAGTATATCGCTGTGAAGCGAGGGGCGGGTGTAGATCTTCGTTGAACTCGAACAAAAAAGCACTCGTGAACCGCTGTTTCTGTTTCACAATTATTTTTTGGAGCCATTCTTTTTCATTCCATTTTCCTCCAGTTGTTCAATACTCCATCCTCCAACCCTCCTATAGCCATCTCCAGTAAATACAAATGTAACAACTTAGTCCCCGGCCACCTGCGGCCTGACCCGGTGACCTTGACCCGTCTGCCCAGATACCGGTATATTTTTTAGATCGGCATCGGGCCCGACTGGTAATCATATTTAGCGCCCTCTATTGATCATTATTTATGTCGTAACCTTAAGCCCCCTCAAAATAATTTCACCACATTTGTGAGCTATGGCAATGGTCCCAACCATGTTGGGACAGTCCCAACATGTTGTCCTAACCCTTGTTATTATAGTGTGACAGAATAAGAATTAGGTCACCAACTGTATGTTTCAAATACAGTAGCACACTGTAAATCACCCACACTTTGCAAATAAGGAATCCTTGTTTCTGATTGGTCAATTGAGTTTATGCACTGTTGTATGGCAGAGAGAAGTTGTACACAGCCTATGGGGCTTGAAGTCTATAAAAGGGATTGCAGGGCTAGGATTTAGTCAGTTGATTGCTTGATTCTCTTATGATTGGACTAATTGCTAGGGTTCTTGATTGAGTGGAATGACATGACGGATGATGATTAAGGCATGACCACCGTACTTGATTACTGTTTCTGTTCAATTACTAGTCTGTCTTAGGGTATAGGGTCTACTTAGGACTAAGTCTAGGGCAAAGTCCCAAGGACGATTAGTTGCTCCACCCACATTCCGACTCCGCCTATTCCGCCCCATTCTTCGCCGGAACGCTGGTTTTTCTACATTCATACCGTTTGCTTTAATTGTGCTTCCTTTTGCTTGCATCATCCATTTTATAAACTGTGTCGTTGTATCACAGAAAAAATATCTTAGTAATCCCACGGACTCAACTAAGCGTAAATATGTGCGATATAAGAATAAACTTACAAATGTCATCAGATTTGCCAAGAAAATATACTGCACCATGATAATTAACAAAGAAAAAAATAACTTGACTAATACTTGGAAACTTATTACCTAGCTTTTTACCTGGATCCCTTTTAACCATAACCATAATACATGTTAATGCACAAACCCATAGATATCAGGAAATATATAGCAGATTCAAAACATTTACATTCATATAATATTGCATTGTACAACTATTGAAGTCCCTTTTCACAGTTAGAATTTGTATTTGATATCCTCTTTAAAAATACTTTCATCGTCAAGCAGCAGGCAAAACACATTTCAGTAGGCCTACTCATAAGATCATATTTTCAATTCATTCTTAAGGTCACAGTTTTACTTTCTACACATAGGCGTAGCCAGCGGCGGTATTTAACCCCCCAATATTTTGTAAGGTCTGCATGTTTACATTCAAATGCCGTTTTTTTCACCAGCGCTTACCCCCCCCCCCCAATATTTGAAAAGAGTGCCCTGCTTTGATTAAAAAGTCTTTTTTTAACAAGTGCCCGTCTTCAAAAAAATCCTCTCGTATTTTTTGCCAGCGGCCATTATGTGTGCCTTTGACAACGACTAAAGAAAAACAAGTATTTTACTGGAAAAGAAACACTTGTGTATCAAATATGGCTAGTCTTAAGAATGATTTAAACGATGTTGATTGGAACTCAGTACTGCTGGCAGATAATATTGATGGGTATTACACCATGGGCGTTAGGCCTACTCAATAAGATCATATTTTCAATTCCTTCTTAAGGTCACAGTTTTACTTTCTACACTAGACGTAGCAAGCGGGGGTATTAACCCTCCCCCCATTATTTTGTAAGGTCTGCCTGTTTACATTCAAATGCCCTTTTTTCACCAGAGCTTACCCCCCCCCCACAATATTTAAAAAGAGTGCCCTGCTTTTATTAAAAAGTCCTCTTTTTTTAAACAAATGCCCGTCTTCAAAAAAATCCTCCCCTATTTCGTGCCAGCGGCCATTATGTGTGCCTTTGACAACAACTAAAGAAAAACAATTTTTTTCAATGGAAAACTTACTTGTGCATCAAATATGGCTAGTCTTAAGAATGAATTAAACGATGTTGATTAGAACTCAGTACTGCTGGCAGATAATATTGATGGGTGTTACACCAGTTTTATATACAGAAACTAAATTAACTTATCGATAAATGTATTCCTTATTAGAGATTTAGATCCCGTAAACACATGAATGTTAACCCAAAGATGACAACGGGGCTGCTAAAATCTATCAGACGAAAACGCACATTATAGAAAAAATATCTTAGTAATCCCACGGACTCAACTAAGCGTAAATATGTGCGATATAAGAATAAACTCACAAATATCATTAGATTTGCCAAGAAAATATACTGCACCATGATGTTTAACAAAGAAAAAAATAACAACTAATACTTGGAAACTTACTACCTAGCTTTTTACCTGGATCCCTTATAACCATAACCATAATACATGTTAATGCACAAAACCCATAGATATCAGGAAATATATAGCAGATTCAAAACATTCACATTCATATAATATTGCATTGTACAACTATTGAAGTCCCTTTTCACAGTTAGATTTTGCAATTTGATATCCTCTTAAAAAATACTTATCATCGGCAAGCAGCAGTCAAAACACATTTCAGTAGGCCTACTCATCAGATCATATTTTCAATTCATTCCTAAGGTCCCAGTTTTACTTTCTACACATAGGCGTAGCCAGCGGGGGTATTTAAACCCCCCCCCCTAATATTTTGTAAGGTCTGCCTGTTTACGTTCCAATGCCCTTTTTTTCACCAGAGCTTACCCCCTCCCCAATATTTGAAAAGAGTGCCCTGCTTTTATTAAAAAGTCCTTTTTTTAACAAGTGCCTGTCTTCAAAAAAATCCTCCCCTATTTTGAGCCAGCGGCCGTTATGACATGATATGTATTGCCCTGGAAAACACCTTATATTGTCCGTTAGTGTGCATAATCGTCGGTTTTGAACATCGCTCCCATCGATAGATGGTACCAGCCCCCCCCCCTTAGTTTCAGTTTGATTTTACGGAGGCCAAGAGTCTGGAGAAAAAACCCAATCGTGTCTACATAAATAGCACGGATGTGTATAAGTGGCCTTTTCCATACCCCCCCCCCCCCCAATCAAAATGACCTTGCTACGCCACTGCTAGTTATGCTACACATAATCACTTACATTTGGTTACACAAGAGCACACAATCTGGTTTCCAAGATGCAACTTACACACTCCAGAAACTTGATTCACAGTTCAGAAATTGACCCTCTTGGTTCAAATGGTTGTCTGCATTTCATGGTTATCGCCGGAAGTAGTTGGCACTGGGGCGTAAGGCCTCCTCTCCAGTGCACGATTGAATTCATTGCATTTCTTCTGTAAATAAACCTTCAATATAACAATCAGTATACAACAATATACTGAGCTTATTATAATGACCTGATCATGAAGTTGATTATATTAAGCATATTACAAAACCAAGATTACGAATGACTTTACAGATGGGTTCAAACATGATTTATACGGAAAAAAACTATTTTGTACCATCCGGACGAAAATATTTCCCTGTTATTTGGGACGGCCCGATTTCAACCAGATTTAAGCCTCGCAAAGTCCAAGGAAAAGAACTCACTGACGGACTACAACAAAGTAATTTTTTTGGAGTATTCAAAAACATGATTATACACGACCATCAAGCACCTCTTCCCCTTCGGGTACGTCATAACTTCAACCCTAACAGTCCTGAATCCTCCACTTTGAATATGATTTACAATTAAGAGGCAAATCAAATTTTAAGGTCACAAATAGCCTCGAGCAATTGCTCGTAGTCCAAAACGTAAATATACCAACATTTGTGGGTATAGGATGAGGGATACTTAAGGTTTGGGGTCATTAAAGTTAGAAACATTTCGTCCACAACCCTACTTACCAGGCGGATGCACATAATGACAATGAAGATCAATGCGAATGTCAACGCGACCCCTAGCGCAATCACAGGAACGGTATTCTGAGCAGGTTTGTTGGCAGTTGGTGTACCTTCGTCAGCCCAAACAAGCGTTGTTCCTGAAAGAGACAAACGGCACTCAGATGCAATATCTGACTTGGTTCAATTGATACTTGACTTGATTCAATTGATGCCTGACTTACTTCAATTGATGTCTGACTTGATTAAATGGATATCTTTATACTGGAATCAGATGACCCAAACTCCGAGTTTCATTGTTTCTTTACCCAATAGATCCCTTACGTCTGACGTCACATCCGAGGACCGTTTTTTTCCTCTGTGATGTGCGATACGCATCCGTATACATTTTTGACATTTATTGCCACTGAATTAGAAAACAACAAAGATATTTCTCATTGTGGGCGCACTGTGCAAGGGGTCTATCCGCTCCGTTCACAAGTATCCCCTCACCAACAACGAAAGCACAGTTAGGGGTGACCGACCGACGCCATCTTGCCTGACTGCAATTTTGCCGTGGCGCGCGGCCTGGTGTACGTGCGTCACACACAATGAACGGTGCGCGTCAACCAGCTAAATGTCCCGCCCATGGGACGTCGTTGCTAGGTCAAAGGGCGCCCTCTTTCGTTGGCGCACGGAGCCCATACGCCAACAACACTTCAAGGGGAAGCCATTTTCAATCGTGTTCCCTGAATCAATTTAACAAATTGTAAATTCTTGAATGGGATGGTGCCAGGCTATTTTATGATTGGAGTGCGTTCCAAGGCTCTATTTAATTCAGTTAAATATTCGGCTTTAAATATTAGCGAAAATTTAATCACATTTTGTAAATAATTATTCATCAGACCTTAATGTTATTAATTTGAAATGAACTTCCATTTCTGAATCACTGCGTTTATCTCCAATCGCAAGTTCTAAAAATGCACATGTGTACAAATTAGGAGTCTGGTGCCTGACTGTGTTTTCCATTAGTCCGGGGTAAAAACAGAATTAATTCAGCCAATGTTATCCAGCAATATACTCCATCATATTACACATTATTTTATGCAACATGGAAAAGAGGTGATTTTTTTTTGAGGTGGAGTTGACTGAATATTTCACACTGAACGCTGAAATACGTTATAGGCCTACACGTTGGAAGTAATAACACAAAATATAAAATGAATCCATTACTTGCTTTACGGTTGTCGAATCAGGCTGCAGGAAGCACGTTTCCCAACATGGGGTTACTAATTGAAACAAGGTCGACAATAAAGTAACCACTGGGGACGAGGTTTCTATACGCCTTTTTTCACTCCATTATTTATATTGACAATTAACCCATTCACAAGTTTCACCATTGAAGCATTTTAATATCTCTTCACTGTATTAATTTTCTTTTTAATTCCTCTCAATTCTTGAGATTTGCAATTCTTACCGTGTAAAAACATCTGGTTACCGATTTGACCAATTTTATAGTTATCCCCTCAAGAATGGCACCGACACGAAACTGCTATACCTACCTAGATTGTTGGATGATTGAACGTGATGAGTTTTGGTAAGGTGTACTATTATGCGTTCGCCATTGCCTTCAACACCCATTGCCTCACACGTGCATGCTTCCTGACTGTCAACGGCAGGCACTTGGACTGATGCTGAAGTTGAATAGGTGTTGGTCCTCAACGACGACCCTGATTAATACATTTGAAATCCATCGTTTTTAAAAGAAAATACCATTTCTGGTTTAAGAGGTAAGCAAATTCTTTAATCAAAAAGGGAAAAGAGGCTGGTTTTGAAACCCCAGATGAGCAAGGATTTAACAATGTTATTGGCTAAATCTCATTCAATGCCTGGTGGGGTTTAGCAATTAAGACAGAAACATGGTTCAACGAGAGAAATCAGTATTTATACAGCCGTAGGTACATCAGTGACCATACGGAATCACGGACGATCAGTTTTAAGGCAGGATCATTGGCGTTTTCTCAAAAAGTAATTTAAATTATCGTCAAAAGGCTAAATTTGGTTTAAAGATCGTACCGGTGAAATTAGGTCTGTCTGGATTGCTATCATTTAGAACAGACAATTGTAATTTTTTGAAAGAAAAAGAGTACTACTTAGACGAAATCATGATTCGTTATCAACAGTTTTTCACTATATAATATGACTTGAAGCTTTGCAAGGCGGATGAGATAAAATAGACAAATTGCGGGTAACACCAATGTGGAAAGAAATCTCTTCTTGGAAGAAGTGGGGTTATGAAAAGAACCGGTTGGTTGAGCGTAGAACTCGACGTTATCGGACAAAAAGTGTGCTCTGTCCGTCCTCAGACTGTTTTCTCAAAACGTGTAATTAACATCCACTGAGCTGCAATTTCAGGTCCTGAACATTCTTCTCTGGATTGTATTGGTGTTGATATTAGAAACGAACAAAATACACAAGAAGCAAATGATTCTATATGTATGTACTGCTTCTTATGCACGGCTTTGACATGACACTTGTACCTACCTGGATTGTCGGACTGAACTTCCTCATGAGGCACTGTGGTGTGATGAGCTTTGGTAAGGCGTACTCTCATGCGTGCGCCTTTACCAACAGCAACCCCTATTGCCTCACACAAGTATACTTCATTATCGCCATCAACTTTTGTCACTTGGACTGATGCCGAAGTCGAATAGGTGTTGTTCCTCAACAACGCCCCTGATTGGTAGATTTCAAATCGATACATTTCGATAGATTTTGAAATGGATGAATCTGATCAACAAAAGTTCTACTTCTAGTGTTAGAGGAAAGAACGTTCTCCGATCTTACGTATTGGGTCTCAAAATATAAATAATCTCAAACAGCTTGCTCTCTAAATTCCGAAGAGTGAAAATTAACTCCATTCGAGTGAAGATTCACTCCCACAGTCGGAAACTAGGGATTTGACGTTTTAGAGTGAAATTTCTTCAATTTTCACGCGAGCTTCAACTGAAGCAGTGATTTTTTTCAGACTATTTCAACCGAAAATGAGAGTGATTTTCACTCTAAAACGTCTAGTCCCTAATTTCACTCTTTGGAATTTAGAGAGTGATGAGATCGCATTCCATCCAAACACCTTACATCAGCAAGCCCAATATAGAGGTAAACCATCAGAACAGAAATGCGGCGCCGAACATGTAAAGAAATCATCATTGAACGGCCCGAAGGTATCGATATACGGCAAGCTTGAAATGACCATCCCTGTTTAGATATTACCGCATTTCCAGGATATGGAAAATTGGGTGGTTACTTTGCGCTTCCGTATGTGTAGTATTTGGATAAGGCGAACAGTCAAACCAAACAGCAATATACAGCATTATGTTTGGAAGAATGCTGCTTACCAGTGTAGGCAGGTAGAACTTCAGGCCAGACTGATGTGGAGGCCTTTAGTTCAGTCTTCCCGCCCAAAAACAGATGGATCCATCTCAGTTCAACAGCAGGTTTGACCTGCTCAATGACGCAGGTCAGGTTGTGCACCGTGCTGTTAGGTTGTACGCTCATCTCACACGTGTCTGCGGCTAGGACTTGATTGCAGCCGATGACGGTAGGATATGGACGTCTTGGGGAGACTGTTGGTAGGAAGAGATGAGAAAGTCAACAGTTAACGTGACTGTAAAATAATCGTAATAGTAACAATAATGCGCCTCAAACTGACGTAGACGTTACTCGAAGGCTACTGACGTAGGTTTACATGTTGCTAAAGATGATATTTTTACAACTTTTATAAACAATTTTTTTCTAAAATGGTCGAACGCCCTCATTCGCTAAAAAATGGCCAATTATCAGATCAGGGCGTATAATCGCTCACCCTTGACACAAACTTCAACCTGTCCCTCGTCCATCGCTTTCAAATGTGGTTTCAACTTCCAAAAGTAGGTGCCCTCATTGGAGGCGTTGACGTTCTCAATGATGAGATTGAACTCATCGTCGATATCATAGACGCCCTCTGGGATCCCGTTTTGGGGAGCCACTCTTCCCAAGAAGTACGAGATGAGGATGGATATGTCGCTCATTGAGCCATAGTACCAGTACATCGCGTCGACGTTTTCTCGGGAGAGTTTGCGAGATTTTGCGAGAGGACAGGGCACAATCCCTCTGCTGCCTCGTTCCACGAATAGAGTTCCATCAGTGATCGCCAGGACGAATCCGCCTGAAACAAGATATCTGAGTTTTTTTAAATCGTCTAAATCTCTTGCTTTGCAAAAATATTCCTGGAGTCTTGCTGTTCTTACACTAAAGGCAAATGCGTCTTGACATTGAATGTAGTCCAATCAAATGAAGTCAAATTTGATTTAAAGTCGAATTTTTTTTTCAATGTGAACCAAAAGACATCCAGATTTGCCCCCATGATTGTGTGTGAATGCAGTTACAAATTAAATAAGGGAAACCATTGCAGTAGTGCACAAAGCGTGGTTCAGTGATTTCTCCCAATGATGCATTATGGGATTTACTGAACAGTATTTGCCCGTAGTACCCACATCGGTATTTCCCGATCCCCAAGCTCTTTATTTGATAGATTGGAACTGCAAAACGTTGCGATTTATAATGAACTGAGATTACATAATGTACTTACAGTATATCAACAATGATAGCCACTGCATTTCTCATCAGTTTATTGTCTCTGTAAATAAAAGCAAAACTGCAAACATACCACAATATAACAGCATGTACACCACAATATATTTATATTATTGATATTTTATTACATATATTATAAGCCTTGTGAAATATTGAAGACCTTTTACTTGTAAATCCTTACCATGAATAAGGATATGTTGAGACCCCAAATTCTATGTTTACACGCTATAGAAATGGTTACGTCATATACCCAGTCCTGTTTGTCGTTGACGAGCGACGAACGTCACAAACAAATGCGAACGGTCTTACTGAGTCTGTTATTTCTAAAACTTTGTAAATGGCAACATTTAAGTAAATCCTTTTAGAGATGGAAGGAAAACCCCAGAATTTTCTTGTAAGAAAACATGGAATGAGGTAATAGGCCATCAGCTTGGGGGTTTGGTCAGTATCAAATCAGGGCATAAAAGATTACAGTGCGCATGCGCAAGGTATACCGCCCACAGTGGTTTAAGACCAAGACATTTCACACGAATTTTGTTTTCCAGTTTTTGTTTATGCTTTTACCTGACATGTCTAAAGATATGGTTTAATTCTCAAAAAGTTATTTTGAGGTTTAATTCACTTCGAAATTGACATTATATTACCCAGCCTCTTCATTCAATCATGGATATTTTCATTTGGTTACATGATATTTAAGGAGTTGCTGGGTCCAGGATCTTGACTTGTTGTTTTCTGTGACCTCTTTTTTTCTGAAGCCACTGTGTTACTCTTTCATTTGATATATGACTTATATTGACACCTACAGCAAAAAGGTCAGTAAAATGAGCGTAGACATAAAGATTTTATCACTATTTTAAGAAAAATATTAAAGAAACCAAAACGTTACACATTTTTTCAATCGGCCGCCAACGGCCAGGGTATTTTGCACTTTTTCCTTCATAAATTGTTTGACAAACTATCTGGCTACGAAAATAAAATAGCCCCAAAATCCCCCCAAATCGCCTTCATTCCGAAAAAATGATCATTTTTGCCGGCCTCGTGATCGGAATGCAGCGGCTGAGCAAGAGAAACAGCGCCCTCTGTTGAAAAGCCATGAAGAGGGGAATTCCCTTATGGATCCGATTGTTCTGTAATGAGCGCACCTCATGTACTGTACATGCACATAACACAAAAATCGATATTACATTTTACTTGGTGTCCTTGGCATGCCATTAAGGTGCAAATTTCACACAGCCAGGTTATATGTAAGGTTTTGATGTCATGTACATTGTAGAGCAGTTAATATCCGAACTTTGAAAAGAAAACATTTTGTTCGTAAACTAACTGCACGTATCAGACATTAACTTTTATTCAAAATGCCATGTGTTTAAGTACCACTTTGGACTATAATTGTAACGCAATTTATTTGGGAATAGGCCCTTTCTATTTCATTATGAAAAAGCGTTCAGTACGATTCTGTATGAATTTCACCTATACAGCAAAACCTGATCTGTCCTAAAAGTGTAAAGGCCTTTCGTCTCAATTTTAAAGTTTTTTTACTCTGTTTTTTCTTCTTCTTCAAGAAACAAAGTGGCCGGAGCTACAAAACGTGGATTTTTTTGAAGTTTCTCAAAGTAAAACGTGGACACCGGGCTAATACTACTAGCTTCACTGTTGTTTCAGAAATAATTATTGATAAACCGGACCCGATGACACCAAGAAAATCCTACGTCGAATCAGATTATTAAATAGTGAATGGAAGCAAATACAAAACGCGGCACAGTGACAAACAAAAAAGTTGTGATTGGATGAGTTTCTCGGTCGATGAAGCATTAGTTGTTAGGCAGATTTCACGATCGCTTGAGCAAAGAAGACCGTGAAACGGAACACCTTCCTTAGCCCAGTATAAAGCTTAGAGTAAGTTACGAAGTAGTTTTGGTTGTTTTTTCTTTTTAGAAAATAATACTACTATTATTCTCAGACAACACACAAAACCACACAGTGAGAGTTGATTTGACTTTTCTGGCATAGATTTTTTGAGCCGCTAATTTATTTCTCCTCGGTCAATGTTTAACTGTATTAAATGTCCGTAAAAACGTTAACAAGCTATAACATAACAATAATTACCTATTTGCTAAAAGATATTTGCCTTAGAAACATTTTAAACAAGCTAAAAACGGGGCACGCTTGCCCCAAATCCTTGCCATGCTTGGCATCACTGGGCCCAAAACCTTGGCACACTTGCCAACCATTCACTAGCCCCACCAGAACAAGTGGATGCTAGCCAAAGTGTTTTGTCACATGACTTAAGTATTTGTCACGTGACTTTATTATTTATATGCCTATATTACTCAAGAAGTTATTTGAAGTTAAAGCACTCCGATTTGGTCCACCGCTCGTAGATACGGTTGGCATGCCCCATCAGTACAAATGGGTGCTTGGCGTACTTTTTTACAAAGATTAAACACAACTTGTTATATGTTTAACGTCCAAATTCAAAGGTTTTACTTAAGAACTATTTACCCAACTTGTTTATTTAGTTTGAATTGAGGCACTGCCCGTCGCTCCCAGCCAACTTCGCCAAACGCGCAACGCGCGCCCCATGGGACGACAGGCAGTACCCTCACATCCTTACCCCGAAGAGTAGAACCCCAAAAGAGAAGGAGTGAATGAAACAAATACTAGCGCCAGGGTAATACTGGAGTTGTGTATAACTATTACCAACTGAGGATAGAGTGCGAACTGCTACCATTTTTTTTTTTAAGAGTTAATGTTGCAAACATCATTAACGCTGTAACCTCATCGGCAATTCGGCATGCTTGCCACAAATCTTTGGCACTCTTCCTAAACCACACAAGCTGCCTCTTTGAAATTGCTGTAAAATGCAAATTACACATGCATAATAATAATAATACACATTACAAAGTTAGGCATTATAATCATCACGCCACAACTTGCTCATTGGATAACGTTGTCAAAAGAGGTAAAACTAATCACAAATGTTGATTAGATACTTTTTATATACATATATATTCCTCAAACCAATCCTGATCGATATAGATTCACTTGATACAAAGGGGAAATGTTAGTGGCTACCTTCTAAGCTGGCCTACAAAGTGGCAAAACCCTTCGTGGACAAAAGAGGACGAAATGTACTATTTTCCCGTGGGTAGATCTAATCTAAATCAGTAAGGGGAAATATCCCCAACATATCAACCTCCTATTGTGAGTATCACCAACGTGAACTAAGCAAATTAGCTATTATTTGCTCCTAAAAAAGGCGAAAAGCCAGTACGAAACCCATCTGGTGGAAAAGATCGAAAAAAAAAATCCCTTCCGGCCCCGAAATAGGCGACCAATTTTTCTTTGTAGTTTTTGGAGCAAAATTATCTGGGGGCATAAAGAGGTTTTTTTTTTACTTTTTAATTGTGTATGTTATCTTCCAAAAGTACAATTATAACTGAAATCCCCTTAAAACAATGAACTTGTTAAAGTAGCCGTTATTATTAAATGTAAACAGTCAATGTAGAGCTATAGTTAGTCATTTAAACTGTTACCTGAAGATGAGTATTCCATGTTTAATTTAAAAGAAAATACAGTACAAAATAGCCAGGACTATGTACAACCTACAGCCCAATACAATGACATCAAAAGCATGAATGCAATTTAGAAAATTCCAAGTTGTAATTTACTTAGCAATATTCATTTCATGTCAAGAAATGTTTCTAACCAGCTTATCTGTTCCTTGTTTTTGAAGCCGAATTTTTTTTGAAAAATCGTAACCAGTAGGAGGCTTAAGTACGGTGCATCAACGTTAACATGACAATGGGAAATATTATTACACTTACATGTACATATGAATAATACAATAAGGCTAAATGATCTGGGTCAAGCACGTAAACGCGCAATGTGTGGTTAAATGTTATGTCTACAGATCATATAACTTAGCGTACACTTTATGTTGTATTATCCTCCTCAATGCCATCATGCTTTTAAATCGCGTCAACTTAATTGAAATGGATGTCCATAGAATTTAATAGGTCATGGTCAAAAAAGATTCTTATTAAAGTGTGCCGATTTTTCTGCTGACAGCTATTTTCCTGTTGACAGTTATTTTCCTGATTTTTGCCTTTAGGCAACAGTTTATAATCTGGACGCCAAACTGGCCGAATTGCTGGACGATCAGTACCAACCGAACTTGACAAGATGTCCAACCTCCTGGAGGACCTCTATGTTGCAAATCTGAAGAGCATTCGATGGTACGAGTCCTGGTCCCAAACCAATTTGTAGCGTGTGTTATCCCGTGACATCCTGCAACAGAAAACACTCAAAGCAGCAGTTGTCCATTGCAAACATATCTATCTTTTAAATGTATTCATTTATTTTGTGTTTATTTGTTCGTTAGGTTGTTTGTTTGTTGGGTTGTTGGGGTGTTTGTTTTATTTGTTTTTGTCAGGGTGTTTGTAAGCATTATTATCAATATAATCTACAGGATCCCGCAAATGGGCGACAGGTTTTTTTTTTTAAATTTTTTTATTTATTTGGCAAGTCACATCTGGATTTTGGCAACACGCCAAATTGGTGTCTCCCTATTGTGAAAACGACCCTTAGGACAAGGATTTTTCGTATTGCAAACCATCTAGCTCGAGAAATTCACCAAATTTCGTGAAAAAAAGATAAGATATAATCTTGGGTTAGGTGATAGTTTAGGTTAGTGCACAAGTCTTTGGGAAAGTCTCGCTATTATAGTATTAGTAGAAATTATTACTATTTAATTATTAAAGTTTGTAGTATTTCATTATAATTTTAAATGTTAGTAATTCCTATGTTGGCGTAGGTGACAGAAAAGGATGTCAAGCTAAACAGGAGAGAAACTACACCTCGAATGAATAGGTCCCCCTTAATTGTGTGAAAAAGAATCTAGCATTTTGCTGCAATTATTCAAGGTTGGATTAATTACACATTGTCAAGCGGAGCCTACTGCGTTTTTGGACTCTTTGGCCAGTTTCATTGGGTTAACAATTAACATGCCTTTTCAAAATAGGTTAAGATAGTGCCCATCCAGTGATCTCAGATCTGCCAACCTGCTCCGAAAGCAGCTGCTCTGACAAACAGCGATGTTGTCATGGTTGGCAAAGATCGCAAATTTATGTGGAATTATTATTTTATCTGAGGAACTGTCAAGATTAATCATGTCAGTGGGGACACTGTCACTCTTCTCCTCTTTTTTTTTTTTATTTGCATTAAAGTGCTGTCTTTACATTTAATTGTGTAGGCCCTACTATTAATATCATCATGATTATGTTTATAACTATGTAATTGGTGTTACATGCACTGGCTAAAAACTGCTCAGGTTGCACTGCGGTGTTATTATAGGCCCCGGGCCCCTATTTATTAGGAACCAATGCCGAAAGAGCGGCTCAAATTAGCTGCAGAACAATAACATTTGTCAGAAATGGTCTGAAAAATTAATTAATTGCCCAGGGCTGTTTTAGCTCTAGTATCTTATTGGATTTTTTTTATTTATTCTTTTATTAATATTTGTTTGTTTGTTTGTTTGTTGGTTTATTTATTTATTTATTATTTATTTACTTCTTATTATGTTTTACGGTTACATTTGCACTCTGGCCACGATTTGAGACAAATACAAATGAAACAAATGAAATAACTGAATAGGCGCTAGGGCCTAGCCGCTGCTACTTCTTTCATGAGTTTTAGTCCTATATGTTAGGAAAACAAAACAAGCCTCACTGCATGCCTAAACATGTCGTAATAAATATATACAAAGGCCTAATTATAAATAATATTATTAAACATAATGGCTGGCTGCAAAATATGTACTATTGATAAAATTCAATTATTTATATATAGGCAGTGTTGGAGCAAAGGCTTTGACCCTCAAGGCCAATGCCAAGGTCAAGGCTTTGACCCTCAAGGCCAAGGCCAAGGCCAAGGCTTCGACCCTCAAGCCTCGAGGCCAAGGCCAAGGCTTAACCCTCAAGGCTAAGGCCAAGGCCCTGTTTTATAAAATGACCACTAATATAGAACTAATTATAGTCACATGACACATCATCACGAATCGCTCATTAAGAAGAACAACTTGTCTTTAATTGCAATCAACATGCTCGCATACACTGTTTTATGACTGCATTGTATCTATTAGTATTAAAGTATAAGTTCAGGTCTTCATGAAAATGGTTTAACTAAAACAAAATAACGATATATTGACGCACAATTCTCCCGAGTGTAACAAAAGGGGGATCCAAGAAACTGATTTGGGAAATTTTTATTTGCTGGGCCAACATGGTCAGAAATATTAGCATTATCTAAAACAGATACTTGCAAATCTTTAGCACTTATCAGGGAGACACATACAACCAATCAGATCTATTCCATAGTTGTATACAATTTAAGTGATCATCTCATTAGCCCCACAAGTGTACAGAATATTGTTGCAGCACATCTACTACAATGGTAACAAAATGTGATGCTATAAAAGTGGAAGTGTGCCCAACACACAAATCTATAGGGTGTTTGCCTCCTCCATGGTAACACGATTAAAATGGTAACAGCAAAATTTCAAACAGATTTATCTGGAAAATGCAAAAATCTATGGGCCTTGAAGAGCCTTGACTCAAAATTGCAAGGCACTGATCCCTCAAGGCCAAGGCCAAGGCTTTTGCCCTCAAGCCTCGAGGCCAAGGCCCTAAAATCCAGCCTTAAGGCAGCCTTAAGGCCAAGACCCAGCATCAAGGCACTACATCACTGTATATAGGCCTATGTATTTTTTTCTCAAATAAAATGAAGTACGGACCAGGTATCTCCGTTGAGGGAGGTAATTGCAAAAGTGAATGAACAAATCAACTGAACACTTAGAATAGCTCATGCTCATAGTCATAGCTTCAGGAAACCAGGATGTAGGCTTATTAATTATGACAAACAATTAAGCTACTATAAAGGTGACTCAGTAGGCTACCAAAGTTAAGGCCTCGGTGATCACGTGATGCCTAATCGCCATGATTCGCCTTCAGCTTGCAGGAGATAGGCATTTTAACTATCGCGCTTAAAGCCCCTGTCACACTTGTCCGAATCTATAATTCCGTTCATAAACCGATCTGAAATATTATTAATTCGGACACGTTCGGAGAGAAATGTTAAAAAACCAGCCAGAAATGAAAATACACCGATCATAATCCGGTCTTATTCCGGATGTAACAAGTTGCTATTCCGATTGCAATCCGTCTATATTCAGAACCTCTCCGATCATCACCGGACATGCCAAACTTTGAAAAATTCATTGATCTCAAGACCGACCGCTTTCCGAACATTCCGTTTATATTCAGTGCGTCCGTTTTTTGATCGGCATTACAATGGTGTGGGTTCGGAATGAACTCTGAATACATACGGTTATCGATCGGAATCGGAGGCCTGTTTCGTACTCTTCCGTACCTATTCTGCATTGCAACGAATGGCAACGAATGAGTACAGTGTGTATTCTGTGCATTCCGTGCATATTCCGTGTGTATACCGGATACCGTCCGTATTGAGGTTGCCGCGACAATTCGGAGAAATTATTAAACAGGTTCAATAAGTTCTCCGAGTTCCTCAGTGCATCACCGAACGTACACGAGTATATAGCGTTGAAAAACCGAGGAAAACCGAGGGAAATCCGTTTGAGTTCAGTTCAAACCGATTAAACACCGAATCCACAATGTTTTACTCGGAACATGAACGGAGTGACGATTCGGACAAGTGTGACAGGGGCTTAACGGTCCCCGAGTGATCGAATTTGTATCAAATAATCGGCCTAGGCCTATGCCGACGTCAACTCCGATGCCCCGTCTGAGTGATCATGGTGATATTACATTCAATGTGCCGTAAACTCATCAGACATATTGGGCAATTTGTTCAGTTTAAATATCAAAATTATTAATTCAACTATCCAAATTAGGTCAAACTATGGAGGTATGAAAGGAAATTGTAGGATTAAATCAAATGTCAATCGATCTCCGCACTTTCGCTTAGGGCCCTACCGCTGGCTGCGCTGAATTGAGGCCCAGCGTTAAAATTAAAATCATGGAAACGGTGAACAAAAACTTCACACGATATTGCACAGTACAACAAACAAACAGGCCCAAAACAAATGCTGTTTGATTGGAAAATTCTCACCTTGAATTCCATCATGCATGGCATGTTTGAGCATGATGTCCAAGCCAGTGTACCACGCCGGAAATCTCGAAAGAGGGTCGTGAAGAACAAAAATCCAGCGCACACTGCAGGCTGACACGTTGCCGCGGTCAAGCATGCCGAGAACACCAGCCACCAGCACCGGGGCGGATTGAAAGCTGGGCGGGGATGCGCCGCCCGGACTCGGCCGGGACACACCGTCATGACCTTTGATTTGGCGCCTGGACTTCGGTGTCCGTAAACTTATGACGGGCCATGATTCAAGTAGGACTACACAAGCTTCAATCATGGACGGCTGACATAATCCAGTGGCGATTCAGCATCTAAAAAGTACAAGTAGGCCTATGCCTAAAACGCTGATAGAATTCATGTTCTGGAAACCTTGTACGGCTGTGACAAATCGCATGAAATGTCGACAAGCGAGCGGATCGCTTGGGCTGACGTTCTGACGAGGCATCTTGTAAAAGCTGTATGGTCGTACTCGTAGGAAATACGTAAACGCCGTCTCCAAAACCCCAAAAGATCACTAAAGTTAGCTGCATAACATTTGTTTAATGTGGACGAAAAATCCATGGAATGTAAGCGAACAAACGCATATTCCAGGAGAAATTTATTTTTGATGTTCCGGTCTCAAAAAGCTACGCCGAACTTAACTGGCCTTTCATTTACGGCGTGCACGTAGGGCGTCCGGGCCGTGCGCGCGCGTGGACTTATCACATTTGTATCAATATTTATATCTCCCTTGGAAGTTACATCAACTTCTGCCTATGAACAGCGTTTTTGGCTTCATGCCAGCAATGGATGGCTAGCTGCAGTTTGGGCAATCGATATGTTTACTAATTCCACATCATAGCAACCATCCGCTGATGAACAGAGAGTTTGAAACTCAGCCGGCCGTGTGTTCGTGGAGAATAATGTATTTTATCTTTCAGTGATATAAGGAAAAATGTATAGGCCTATATTTGGTGATATTCCATGATTGCCCTCTCTTCCTCACCCCCCCCCCCAAAGTGAGAATCATCATAAACGTACATATTTACCTGCGTCGCACACGATGATTGATTTTATTTCCCAAAATCCGAGGGGAAAAAGATTAAAAATGGACATTTTGAAAAAAAAGGGTGATAACACCCAAAAGCTGCCTCCGCTGCAATGCTATCACATAATTATTTTCCAACTCTGGAGGTGTATACCTTGCCAAAAACCGCTTTGACGATTATTCCCCTCATTTGATATCGGCGGACAAAGTTTGGACCGAGGCTGATGGCCTACAAGACTGAAAACCAAATCCATGTGTGGACTAGGGCAGGAATCGAATCTGGGCCACAGAGGTGGAAGGCAAGTTACAAACCACTGCGCTGATCATTGGGTCAATGAAACATCCCAAATACAATATCAGCTCCCCGGGGAGGATACAGATTGATGCTGCCATTCCGGCGCAAGCAGCTATAACACCAATCACAGTTACCATAACAGTTTATTATTATTTGTCCTGCTTTACAATTCTTCTTAATTAAATCTTATCAATATGAAATTTCACCCACCAACAAGCACACTGTAAATACGTCACAAATATTGCTTACCGATACAAAGTGAGATAGTTGACACAAGGTCCTTCTGAAGCAGGTGTTCTAGTATGTATGGCAAATTAGTCGTTACTCTAGGAAGACTTCAAGTTCGATGTTAGAAAAGATCCCAAGGGTACTGGTGAGGGAAGAGCGAGTAAAGCCTATTACGAGAACGGCCGCTACGTGAACTGTGAACCGTGTAACGTTCGATCCGGCTACGGCCCCAGCCTGTACTGTAGGCTACTCACACTACAAATTCTCAACACGGATCGCATTCGTACGGAAGCGTATTTAGGACATGGCCCCCCAAAAAATTGAGGCCCTCGGCACGGGCGGATTACTATTTCGCCCGGGCGGATTACTATTTCGTCCGGGCGGATTACTATTTCGCCCGGGCGGATTAATATTTCGCCCAGGCGGATTACATTTTGAGCTGTTTTTGAGCTTAAAACAGCTCGAATTTGTACGGAAGTACGGAAGTGTATTAATGACATGACCAAATTTTTTTTTCAGGCCCTCTATTTCGCCCGGGCGAATTACTATTCCGCCCGGGCGGACTACTAATTCGCCCGGGCGAATTAGTAATCCGCCCGTGCAGATTAGTAATTCGCCCGGCGAATTAGTAATCCGCCCGGGCGAAATAATATCATAACGTGTCTGCTATGTCGACACATTTTGTAGCCTTTGATCTCAACACACTTATCATGATTAATACTCAATTTATTTATTTATTTACTTTTACTCGCTTGGCAATCGGCCAATAAAGCACAGACAATTTTGCCGTCGTATTTATTTTTAGACAAGTTAGTAGACAACGAGGAGGGAAATCACAGTTTTAGTGGTGGAAAGTTACGACAAACAAAAGGATTCAGGTAGGGATTGAAAACCCGAACCACATGTATGCCCAGTCGGGATTCGAACCTGAGTCACTGAGGTGGAAAGTATCATACGCCAACATGAGTGTTTTTTGGTGTCAACATATAGGTTTGATGTCCGGTTCGGTCTTGTCTCTGACTCGATAATCTTTAATAACAATATCAAACCAAATGGTCATACTCAAAGTCGGCGTCATAATGGTACGATTTGATGTTCCCTGAAGCAGAGCACGAACAGACATGTTGAGCTGAAGTCCCTTAACTAATGGGCATACAAATTGCATGAAAAAGCTGAAGATTGAGAAGAGAGATAAACCTCGTGAAGGTTTTTAGCTCCACTCCCCTTCAGAGGCCCGATTGAAAGTTCTGTGTGTTTCAAATAATCGGTCGGGATGCTCATACCATTATACCAGCAATGAGTCAAGTGTATCTTGTAACACATTAAAGCATAAATTGCAACGACCGAAAGCAGAATAATTTCAAACCAAACACATTTACTCACATAAGTCTATTCTATTAAATTTGCACGATATTCTTTGTTGTCATAAAAGGGAGACTCTATAATGGCCATAATTAAATTACAAAATTTATAACAAGGAATTTTCCTTTAAATAAAAAAAATTATAGGCCTAAAATCCATAGCCATATCAAGTGAGGAATTGATGTTTTCAGAATGTATATAAATTCCACTTCCTAATTCGTTCGCACAAATTGCAATTTCGTTCCCACGAATTGCTATTTCGTTCCCACGAATTGCTAATTCGTTCCCACGAATTGCTAATTCATTCGCACGAATTGCCATTTCGTTCGCACGATTTCCTAATTCATGGGAACGAATTGCATCCGGGAACGTGCCAGTAATTCGTGGGAACAGGTTGGTAATTCGTGGGAACATATTAGCAATTCGTGCGAACGAGTTAGCAATTCGTGCGAACGAAGTAGTAATTCGTGGGAACGAATTAGTTATTAGTAATTCGTGGGAACGAATTAGTAATTCGTGCGAACGAATTACTAATTCTTTCGCACGAATTACTAATTCGTGCGAACGAATTACTAATTCGTGCGAACGAATTAGTAATTCGTGCGAACGAATTAGTAATTCTTGCGAACGAATTAGCAAACTCCGGGCCGGGCTTCATACTATGCTGTTTGAATCTTAAACTCCATTTTCCTTAATGACAAAAACTATTTCTAAAGAGAGACTTGTGGGGTAGATTGTCCATTGTACGCTTACTGCCTCATAAGGAACAATGGGTATGTACATGTACTTTGGAACAGTTGTCGCCACTGAATGACACTGTCAACATCGTAAAGAAATGCGATAGCCTTTTGATATCCTTAAAAAAGTGCGACCCAACAAACCCCCCAAACAACCCGCAAACACAAACCGAAACTTGACAAAGAAACAAGAAACACAACTCAACAAACATAGAGTTTTATCACCCCACCTGTCCGTTTAGGATAACCTATGATCCTACTATCGAGGGCAGGGTCCGGAATGAGTGTTCCCAGTGTGTGGTGATTGGTTGATAATTACGACAGCTTGCCCATACCCGAATCCAAACATAAACACCCATAAATATTAGCAGAGTTTATTCTTATCTCTATGTACGGAGAAAATAAGATGATAAAAACAAACTAAACACAAATTGACACGCTTGTTTGCAAATGAGTTTAAAATAAAATGTGTTCACCGAAAAACATCACTTATACTGAATCGTTCTGGGTTGACAACAAAAATACACATTACTTTACATAAACAAGTTTAGTCCATTTCAGTAATGTCCATCAACCATAGGTCTTTGTGTATAGAAGAACCGACACATTAACGATCGAATAGGCCTACAATACATTGATTAATTAATGAATTAATCGAATTTGTATCATAATTTGTATAGGTGTGTATACTTTATTTAAATTGAATGCAGAATATTCGTATTTAAAAAATAACAAAATTTAATGAAAAGCACAATATTCAATTCAGCCCGTGTCAGAATAATAAAAATACATAGATTTTCTGCAAATTGGATTGGCCTTGCACATTTTGTAATAATCGGCAACGCATCCGTCAAACCGAAATCCTAATCACGTATTTGTAATTCTTTAAATGAAACGTTATGCACATTCATTTATTTGAATGATGCAAAATGAAATCGAATGCTAGTTTAATATTGCGAAAATGAAACCTAGATGTACATCGTTCTCAAAATCATTGCCAAATTGCATACATGTTTACAAATTCAAAGGCACATTTTCCAAAATTGTCTTGGAAAACCTAGAGTAGGTGTGAGATAACTGTATGTCGGGGTGATAATCAGTTAACATCCCCCTTTGTATCCATCGCACTGGTCTTATTTGTGAGCTATGGCAATGGTCCCAACCATGTTGGCACAGTCCCGACGTACAGGGTGAGTAAAAAACACGAAACCCAACTGTCGGGATCATTGTTTTAGTGAAGTTCTGCATGTAGCACTTTCCAAATCTAGGATATGAAAGCTCAATTCATAAGCTTTCTTTTAGGATGAGAATCATTCGTATCACTTAGGCGAGCCATCAGATAACAGACCGTTCGGGTACCGGGTCCGGTATGCTAATTTCTTTCACCCCAATCGGTACGAAGCCAGAAGCCACCCGGTCACTGAAGCGTGACACCCCAATCGGTCCAAACTAGTGACTCAGGGTTTCACAATAGGCAACATAAACTGAAGTCTGGCCATTGTTGGAGGATTATTCGGCCCGCTTGGATTACCAGCGGCAACTTCTATGAAGCTCATCACAGTCATTGTTGCCTACTGGAGGATTAGCGCGTCGCAAATTGGTTCCTTTGTGATGAGCCTGAGCCATGGTGCAGAAGCCTGGTGGAGTTAATCCAGGCCGATCGGTTCCATGCAAGGTCCCAATCCCTTCATCATACTGGGCGGGCTCAACCCCGAACGGTCCGGGGAGGGATTCTAATGTGAGGGCTCGCCTTATGTACTGTTCAAGTTACGGAGTTTTTAACACAACCACCGTTTTAAGGGTCTGTCCACGGATCACAAAAAGTTCAATGTGCTTTCAGCAAAACGAAATCAAATCGCATAAGGATGCGTGTGAATTGTTTTCGTTTTGCTGAAAGAACGCACACCTTTTTTTTTTTTTATCCGTGGACAGAACTTTGAAACGGTGGTTGTGTTTAAAACTCCTTAACTTAAAAAGTACATGAGTGATTGGAATAATTCTTGTACTAAAAGAAAGCTTATAAATTGGGATTTTATATCCTGGAATTTAAAAGTGCTACATGCAGAATTTCACTAAAGTATTGGTCACGACATTCGGATTTCTTTTTTTTTTTACTCACCCTTTATTGTCCTAACCATTGCCATATAGTAAGGGCGTAACGCTTTAATCACAACCAACCTCATTTCCCCCAAAGGATACGGGGTCCGTATTAATTGGTCCCTTTATCTGGCCCATATTCTTTTGTTTGTTTGTCTTGTGTTGATTACTTCTATTTGTTGGCCGTTATATTTGGCTTAATTGTACCATACAAATGCACCAGTAACGTACAAGCCTGCATCCAGCTTCGTTATTTTTCTTTTTATTTTAGCAGGCCTATACTACCAGCTACACTATTTGTTTTATTTAACCATTTCCCCAAAATGTTATAGAGAGTTCTGATATGAACGAGGAATATGAAAACCAAGCCCCAAAACACTTACAATGCGCCTTGAAAATGAGCAAGAGTGCCCCCTATTTTGGAAAATGATACCAGCCCCGCCCCCCTCCCATTTGATTTTACAGACGCCAAGCGTCTGGTGAAAAAGAAACCCTTGTCGACGTTTCACCACAATGTGCCCCCCCTCCACCCGCACCGATGGAAGATGCCTTTTACTGAGCAAGTACCCCTTTTTGGTGATCACCCCCCCCCCCAAGTTTGAAAGCTGCCAAAGCACTTGTAATATTACATAACAGTTATGGTGTATTTTTTTTGTCTCCACGTTTCGATAATAATAAACATTAAATCATCTGTTCAGTTTGTAAACACTTAATCTTTGTTTGCTAACGCACAATATTGTCACGACAGGAAGTTTATTTATGGTCAGAAGTTTGGTGTTTGTTTGCTTGCTGTCGATTTAATGGTTCAACGGCAAATGGCGTACAAGGTCCAACCTGAGGGGACACCTGGGGTGGATACCTTTTTTTGGCGGGGTGGGGGGCACTGAAGGCAAATTATATATTTTTCAATTAAAGATTTTAAACGGATGGAGGAGGGGATCCGGGGGCACGGACATCCGCTGGCGGGTGGGGGTGTGAGGGGTGGAGGTGGGGGGGGGGGGGGGGGCACGTGGCCCCCGTGCCCCCAGTGCTACGCCATTGTGTACATTGGTTAATTTGTTTTATTTAAAGAACAATCTGAGTGGGCCTGATATTTCGATCCTAGTAGTATTTCTCCCAAAACTTTAATTAACAGCAGCTTTGTTTTTATGATAGTAACCACACTGCAAGCTCTTTAAGCACGTATATACGAGCATTAGTTACGCTCGGCTGAAGTATTGTGAAACTTCATGTACATGTAGACTGACGCGTCCGTGTAGAGACATTTGTGACATTGATTTTCAACCTCACTTTGAGGTTTCTGACGTTGGATAGGTTTCCACTGATCAGCCCGTTATTTATTGCACTTCCAAGGCACATATTTTGGGGGTTTATAGTTGTATATAGCGCATAGAAGATTAAAAAGTTGAAAAACTCGTGCTCACTTGTAGGGAGTGTGTGCATGAAGCTGGTCCCACAGAGCGATCTGGTGAAAGTTTTCCAAGTGATGGGTGACTGAGAAATCCTTTACAAAAATCCTGCGTTCAGACGCAGATCCGGAAACTTCCAAAATGTTCCATTCCACTCGGATTCGCCTCGTGGAATGGAACATTTTATCTGTCCCCGAATGAAATTATTCTTACCATTGCACTCACAAACATTCATTATTTGTATACTATTATTATACTGGCTCGAGCTTGTTCGTCTGATCTGGAGGGAATAGGAAGAATCAAGACAGGGCTCGAAAAGGTAACCGTCATGTTTTTGACGAAGGGGCACCCAGGCCATCAAAATGAACAAGGGTGCATGGCGCCATTACGAAAACGCGAATTATAATCGCGTCATTTCGTGTTACGTAGGCTTGGGCCTATGCGTCCTCCAAATACAATGAAACATGGGCGTAGCCAGTTCTCGGCCCTAGGGGGCAAGTGATGGTGCTCAAAGCTAAACTTTTTTTCACCGGACACCCGGCCTCCGTTAAAATCACCTTTTTTTAGGGGGGGGGGACTGAGACTGGACTTCATCTTTCTACGTAGGCCTGTTCAAAACCGAATTCATGGTCATTGTCAGACAATAGTAATCGCTTTGCGCGTTCCACGCTGCTTTGCCAGAAAACAAATCACTGATCCAAGTCACTTTGTTTTCGACTCGCCATGTATAGTAACTTCCAAAGATATCCTTTGAATTGCGACATTGCAGCGTCCAAGATGGCAATTCGTACAGTGTTCCTGGCAGTGCTTCTGCCATACTGCATCATCGCTTTGCCGACTGGGCCACCGGTAGGGCACCATCCCGAGGTCTGCACCAGCATGTCACCGGGGGATCACCATCCTGGCAACACGGCCACTGGCCCTGCACCTTACACCATTGTGGTCAGTAATGACACCATTATATACCGCGGGACAACCCGTAAGAGCAGTGTCGAAAATAATTGGTCGAGGCATATCATTGAACCCATTTACTTCTTAACCCCCCTCAAATAGTCAGTTTGAGTTGTCGCATAGTGTAACCATGCAGTTGACTTAGCGCGGCCCAGCCCGGCCCGTCCCAGCTTATCCAGCCATGTCCACACAGCCGGCAATGACATGTCATAGCCCATGGCTATCAGCCCAGCCCAACCCAACCCATTCCAGCCCGACCCTGCGCAGTTCAGCCCAGCCCTTTTCAGTCCAGCCCACTCTAATCCAATCCAACCCAGCCCAGCCAAGTCAAGGCCAGCCCCGCCCGGCCCATCCCCACCCCCTGCCTCCGATGCCAACCTATGGAGTAGCCAAGCCCAGCCCCACAGCCAAGGCCATCCCTTCTCATTCCATCTTATTCCATCTTAACCCAGCCCAGCCCAGTCCAGCTCAGTACAACCCGGCCTATAGCCAAGCACAGACAAATCGAGCCCATTCCAGCTCACCCTATTCATGCGCACCTATAGCTGACCACACCTTCACCCTTAAGCATCATGATCATAATTCAAACTAAGCTTTTCTTCGTTTCGTCACAACAGTGACAGTCCGTGCAGCCAATCAGGGTGTAACCTTCGCCGGTTTCTTCGTTCAGGCAAGAAGCCAATCAGACTCGGCTAAGACGGATGCTCTTGGAACGTTCAGCAGCGTTCCTCAAAGATCGCAAGTTCTTGCCTGCACCTCTGCCGCGGTGAGAAAGCTATACTCAATTTCTCGATTTACACAATATGCTATTTCCATCAAGTGCTCATCCTCAGAGCAAAATGTTTGTACCATTCACTCATCAGAAGCCCATCAACCGATACACTTGTGTTATTGGTGTCTTATTGTTTTCATGCTTTAGTGGTCGGTTTAGTTTGCGTATAAATTTAGTGATCACAAATGTGGTTGTTCTCTCATTTATAATCGAAAGTGACAACATGCACTCCATCCAACCATGGAGGAATTAAAACATTAGCATATTCAGAGTGTGGCAGACACAATGTGAGGGCGCTGTTTGATTTGGTGAAGACTTTTGTATTTACCCAAACTAAGAGGCGCCTTCATATGCCTCAAATAGTTCGCAATACCTAACGGAGGAATTCTTCCAAGACATTTTAGAGTTAAATTTATCCAATCGATTATATTTCCATTCCACTTTCAACCCTTTTAGTCTAACGGTATTTTTCACTCTAAATTGTTGCTCGGATGAAAGCGAGAGCCTGGTCCCACAACAACAAGAATGCCAAGAGGGAGATAACTGCAACGTGGATGCCGCCATCCGATGATCAAGGATCTGTTGCATTCCAGTAAGTGTTGCTGAAGCTATTCTGTGTATTTGGTTGTCACAAAATCTACGGCTCATCAAAACACAAATGCCTTTGGAAGCAGAATTCTGCGCCGGAAATTGTCCTATAAAAGCAAGATAACTCTGGGATAATTCTTTTCATCTCCAGGGCAACCATCGTGAGGGGTCCAGCCAGCGTGTACTGGAAAGGCGTGAAATCACAGTCTCTGTCGTACAGTGCTGCTCCTAGTCTGGGTATGTATACGGCAGGCCTGTGCCTTGGAGTTTGGGGGATTTCCCAGAAGGAGGTTCGGTGAAAAAGTTCGTCAATAATCTTCTAACTGTATTAAACACCCAGACTCTTCTTGGAAAATGTTGAGTAAAAACGAATTTTATCCCACTAAGTTCACTTTCTGTCTACAAAGTTGAGGAGTTTATCATTAAACAATTTCAGGGGCGATGGGCATATTTTTGTAAAAAAACATGCGTTTTTAAACAGGAGATAGCTATATAGGTTGATGTACGAACCTCAGGTTTGGATATTATTTGACCAGCTAAATCTACAACGACAAAGGTGTGAGCTGAAGTTCAAACGTTGCTTGAATTATTACTGGGTGCCAGTAACTTATCACAACCGTCTTTGGCAATGATGATGTGACATGACGCCATCTAAAGGGTGCCCTCCTGACATATTCTGATGCTTTTCCCTTAAAACAAGGCTTTTGGAACAAACAAAACGAAATGTGTGTTATCATATCATGCCATCCGTAAAACTTTTTGGGACCCACCGAATTCTCGCCAAAAACTTCGTTTTCTGAGTAGGATATCACCACAATATTTCTTCTTAAAAGTAGCCCAAAGATTTGAAAGCAAGCTCTTAATATTTCTTATTGTTTTCTTGCAGTTTCAAGCAGCAACTTCCTCTTGACTTTTGCCGTGTTCTGGGCGATGATGGCGTGACTGTGATTAACGGTGGACGTCTATACCGCCCTCTTGTGATATCATCTGGACAAAAATAATCGTCTTATTCGGAAACGTGCCTCACTCTTTTGGGGAGATTCTGATGAATGGTGCGATGACCCAAAGAAGCGTCAATTTCCAAAAGAGCAACTACAGACAAGTGATTATTGATTATTCAAGCTTTTTTATTGCGAAAAGCTGCATCAAGGAACAAATACTCGGACATAGAAAAAATTCTCAAGCTGCTTTTGCTTATTGCTAAATTGCCACTATTCCGGAAAACAAATACTAGTAAATTGCATTTAAACACTATTTAACCATATAAAACAGAGAGGCTTACTGAAAAGATTTATAAACTATTTTAAATTCATTTACTTTCAACATAAAGGGCTTCATCTTATTTTCCATCCCAGGAAAGGCTACTGACATTTTTCTCCAAGTCAGATTTCCATGCTGAACTTGCTGGTGTTGTCAACGTCGTTTTTATTCCCGTGGTCAGGTACTGCTGTCTTGTCTCATTTTGATATTAACTTGAAGATAGTGGATACAAACATTTTCCTCAAAACTTATGAAATATGAACTCTGCAACTATATCTGCTCCAGCATAATTTTCTTTAATTGAAAGTTATTAAAACATGAACTTATTTACATTAATTAGCATTACTTGTAAAAAATACTGTCCTCGGTTACTTGTATAAAACAACAAAAGCATCGCAGGTAAGAAAAGTAGAAGAGAAAAACAAAAACCAACCAAACGTTGATTCATAATTACTCCACTAAACTACTTCACCATACACCCCAATACTCATTCATAATATTGACCTACAAACAATATATAATAATAACTTTTTGGTTTCTGTTATGTGTTAATATACACGTTAATGTAAAAAACCCATAGATATATCAGGAAATATATAGCAGATTGAACATATTCACATTCAGATAATATTACATTGTACAAATATTGAAGCCCCTTTTCACAGTTAGATTTCGTATTTTCATATCCTCTTAAACATACTTATCATGGCGGCAAGCAATCAAAACACATTTCAGTAGGCCTACTCATAAGATCATAGCTATTCTCTCGTCACTGTGCAAATTTCCTCCTCCCGACTGCTGTTTTCTTTTCTTTTCTTTTCTCTTCTTCTCTTTTTCTTTTCGCTCCAAGTTAGGCAGGCACACTAAAATTCATTTCCAATCAGAGAATTCAGATAATTGTTCTTGTCTTTATTTCTTGTTTGTCTACTTATGTTTGTAATTGTTTGTGTTTGTTTGTACTGGCATGGCAATATAAGCCTTCGACTTCTGCGCATGCCACAATATTGCTGCTTTTATACTTGTTAATGAGTCGTAGTCTTCTTACTTGTTAATGAGTCGTAGTTTTTATGGATTATTAACATTATTTTTTGGTTATATAAATATTTCTAGTTCTCATTAATGTTACTTTAAATCGACTCATTATGCATTTTTTGTCAGTAATATTGAAATAAATGTTTGTTTGAATTGAATTGAATTGAATTGAAAATTCTTAAGGTCACAGTTTTACTTTGTTCACATAGGCGTAGCCAGCGGGGTATTTACACCCCCCCCCCTCAATATTTTGTTAGGTCTGCCCGTATCCATTCAAATGTCCTTTTTTCACCAGCGCTTACCCCCCCCCCCTCAATATTTGTAAAGAGTCCACTTCTTTAAAAAAAAATCTGTGCCCTTCTTCAAAAACAAATCCTCCCTTACTTTTGTGCCGGCGGCCGTTATGTGTGCCTTTGTTTGAATTTCGCGCATGTATTTCCCTGGAAAACACCTAATATTGTCCGTTAGTGTGCATAATCGTCAGTTTTGAACAGTGCTCCAATCGATAGATGGTGCCAGCCTCCCCCCTTAGTTTCAGTTTTGATTTTACGGAGGCCAAGAGTCTGGAGAAAAAAAACCCCAAACGTGTCTACATAAATAGCACGGATGTGTATAAGTGCCCTTTTCCATACCCCCTCCCCAATCAAAATGACCTTGCTACGCCACTGCTACACATAATCACTTACATTTGGTTGCACAAGAGCACACGATCTGATTTCCAAGATGAAAATTACACACTCCAGAAACTTGATTCACACTTCAGAAATTGACCCTATGGTTTAATTGGCTTCATTTCCTGGTCATCGTCAGAAGCAGCACTCACTTGTGCGTCAGGCCTCCTTTCCCATGCAGGACTCCATTTAATACATTTCTTCTCTGAATATACCTGCATTTATAACAATCAGTATAGAAACAACATACTAAGCTTTTTATAATGACCTGATCATGAAGTTGATTACATTAAGCATATTACAAAATATCAATTTATGACTAATAATGACTTAACCGGTGGGTTAAAACATGTTTTTTACGGAAAAAACTATTTTGTACCATCCGGACGAAAATATTTCCCTGTTAACGCTAGTTGGGACGGCCCGATTTCAACCAGATTTCAGCCCACACGCGCACGTACGTAAGTCCTTGGAAAAAGAACTCATTGACTGACTACAACAAATATGTTTTGGAGTATTCAAAAACAAACTATCACATGACCATGAAGTACCTCTTCCCCAACCTCGTCCCCAGGGTGTCGAGCAGTACACGCCCACCACTTTACCTGCTCTCTCACCCTGGTATTGGATCATTTGCATGTGCAAACTTTTTGCACACGTATGCAAATGAGGAATAGTCTGGTGCCTGACTGTACGTTACATTAGCATTTGTTTTTGTATGCGGTGTCTGGGGTAAAAACACAATCAATTCGTCGCGCCGTGAGTTACGAAAACACGATTGTTTTCGAAGTTAATATACGGATACGGTTACAAACTTATCCCGCCAATATGCAATATCACATTTCATATAAATATGAACAAATTGGAAGGGAATGAGCAATTTTGAGAAGGCGTGGACGTTATAATTACAATGATCGTGAAAACACATAATGCACTGAAAGTAGCAACACCAACTACACGATATTAGTCCATTACTAACCAATTGCGGTATCGAATCAGGACACAGAAGGAAAGTTTTCTATCCAAGGCTTACTATTGGAAACGAGGTTGGAAATAAAGTAAGCACTGGGGACGAGGTTGCCTCTTCCTTCCCCCTCCGGTAAATCACAACTTCTATTTATAGGCGAAGCAAATTTAAATGTCACAAATAGCCCCGAGCAATTGCTCGTGGTCCAAAACATAAACATACCAACATTTTGTAGGGTAGGAAAAGGGATAAATTATTAGGAGTCATTAAAGTTGGACACATTTTGTCCACAACCCTACTTACCATGCGGATGCACAGAATGGCAATGAAGATCAATGCGACTATCAACCCGACCTCTAGCGCATTCACATAAACGGCATTCTCAGCAGGTTTGTTGGCAGTTGGTGTACCTTTGTCAGCCCAAACAAGCGTTGTTCCTGAAAGAGACAAACGGCACTCAGATGCAATATCTGACTTGGTTCAATTGATGACTGACTTACTTCAATTGATATCTGACTTGATTCAATCGATATCTTTATACTGGAAATATGACCCAATCTCCGAGTTTCATTGTTCCATTACCCAAATAGAACCCTTACGTCTGACGTCACATCTGAGGACCTTTGTTTTTTTCATCTGCGATGTGCGATACGCATTCGTATACATTTTTATTGCCACTGAATTTAATAAAACAAAAATATGTCTGATTGAGGGCGCACTGTGCAAGGGGTCTATACGCCAACAACACTTCAAGTTTGGGGAAGGAATTTTCATTCGTGTTCCCTGAATCAATTTAACAAATTGTAAGCTCTTGAATGGGATGGTGCCAGGCTATTTTTTAATTGGAGTGCGTTCCAAGCCTCAATTTAGTTTTGTTAAACATTCTAAACATGGTTCAACGAGAGAAAACAGCATTAACAAACCCGTAGGTACATCAGTGACAATACGGAATCACGGACGGTCAGTTTTAAGGCAGGATCGTTTGCATTTTCCCAACACGGAATTTAAACTATTGTTAAAAGACTAAATTTGGTTAAAGGATCATACCAGTGAAATTAGTTCCGTCTGGATTGCTATCATTTAGAAGAGACAACTGTCTTTTTTTGGAAAGAAAAAGAGTACTACATAGACGAAATCATGATACGTGATCAGAATTAATATCCACTGACAGAGTTAAAATGTCAGGTTCTGTATACATTCTTCTTTGGATTGTATTGGTGTTGATACAGGAAACGAAAAAAATACATAAGAAGCAAATGATTCCATATGTATATACTGCCCCTTATGCATGGCTTTGACATGACACCTCTACCTACCTGGATTGTCAGCCTGAACTTCCTCATGAGATACTGTGGTGTGATGAGCTTTGGTAACGCGTACCCTCATGCGTGCGCCTTTGTCAACAACGGCAATACCTATTGCCTCACACGCGTAGACTTTCTCATAGTCAACTGCTTCCACTTGGACTGATGCTGAAGTTGAAAAGGTGTTGCTCCTCAACGACGACCCTGATTGGTAGATTTCAAATCGATGGATATATTTCGATAGATTTTGAAATTCGTGAAGCGGATAAAAAAAAATAGAAATAATCTCAAACACCTTGATGAGATCAAACACCTTACATAAGCAAGCCTGATATAGGGTCTAACCATCAAAACAGAAATCTGGCGCCGAACATGTAAAGAAATCATCAGTGAACGGCCCGGAGGTATCGATATACGGCGAGCTTAAAATGACCATCCCTGTTAATATATTTCCGCATTTCCAGGATATGGAAAATCTGGTGGTTACTTTGTGTTTCCGTATAATATGTGTAGTACGGTTTAGAGACGACATGTTCCTTTCTGATAAGGCAAACAGTCAAACCAAACAGCAATATACAGCATTATGTTGGGAAGAATGATGCTTACCGGTGTATGCGGGTAGAACTTCACGCCAAACTGATGTGGAGGCATTGAGTTCAGTCTTCCCGCCCAAAAACAGGTGGAGCCATCTCAGTTCAACTGCAGGTTTGACCTGCTCCATGACGCAGGTCAGGTTATGCACCGTGCTGTCGTCTCGTACTCTCACCTCGCACGTGTCTGCATCGTGGTCTTGATTGCAGCCGATGACGGTAGGATACGGCCGACTCGGGGACACTGTTGATGGGAAGAGTTGAGAAAGTCAACAGTTAACGTGGCTGTAAAATAATAATAATAATAATAACAACTAGAGGTCCATGTCTGTTTGAAACAGGTAGGGCTGTATATCAGAATATTTCAAAAATATTCTGTATTGATGACGTCATGACGCATTTCTCACAATTGTAACATTTGTCTGCCAATCCTATTGTAAGAAATGAATGTAGTATGTTTCGTCCGTTACTTAATGCACTTTTATGATGACGTCACATGCCCTACGATGACGTCATCTTGACAACACTTGTCAGTGCGCATTTTTGCATTTTGGTCTTGGTTTGAACCAAGTTTGAAGTCAATACGATGTAAGTAAGTGTTTAATTGTGGAAGCGGAATAAAAATGTAAATGTTAAATCATTAAAAATCAACCGATGACGTCATGGTGACGTCATTTAAGTTTGTGCATACTAGTCCCTATACTAGCTATAGGGACTATGCCTATGCTGACGTTGAATGGCGACAAAGACTAATGCCAAAAGTGGCATTCACAAAAGATGACGACGCAGAGATCGTAAAGGAGACGAATCAGCTCTTTATGGAACTCATGAGTCCAGGAAGGAGATTTAAGTTTTAAGTGACAATCATAATAATCATTTACCCTTGTCACAAACTTCAACCTTTCCTGCTTGCAACATTTTCAAGTGTGGTTTCAACTTAAAGAAGTAGGTTCCCTCATTGGAGGCGGTGACGTTCTCAATGATGAGATTGAACTCATCGTCGATATCATAGACGCCCTCTGGGATCCCGTTTTGGGGAGCCGCTCGTTCAAGGAAATACGAGATGAGCAGGGCTGTGTCGCTCATTGAGCCATAGTGCCAGTACATCGCAACAATGTCTTTAGGCGAGATTTGGCGAGATTGGACTAAAGGACAGGGCACGATCCCTCGGTGGCCTCGTTCCAAGAACACGGTTCCATCAGTGATCGCTAGGACGAATCCGCCTGAAACAAGATATCTGATTTTACTTTAAATTGTCTAAATCTCTTGCTCTGCAAAACTATTCCTGGAGTTGTGCTGTTTGTACCAAAGGCAAATGCTTATAGTCCAATTAAATGATGTCAAATTTGATTTAAAGTCCAATTTTTTAATGTGAACCAAAAGACATCCAGATTTGCACTAATAAAAACATATCAACGGAAAACCATTGCAGTAGTGCACAAAGCGTGGTTCAGTGATTTCTCCCAATGACGGATTTACCGAACAGTTTTTGCCCGTAGTACCCACATCGGTATAGTATTTGCATACCCGTAATAACCACATTTCCCGTCCATTCCCCAAGCTCTTTATTTGATAGATTGGAACTACAAAATATTGCGATTTACAATGAATTGAGATTCCATAATGTACTTACAGCATATCAACAATGATAGCCACTGCATTTCTCATCAGTTTGTTGTCTCTGTAAATGAAAGCAAAGCTGCAAACAAACACATTATATTTATATTATTAATATTTTATTACATCTATTATAACCCTTGTGAAACATTAAAGACGTTTTACTTGTAAATCCTTGCCATGAATAAGGACATGCTGAGGCCCCAAATTCGATGTGTTATACGCTGTAGAAATGGTTACGTCCTGATGCGTTCAACATTAATTTAATTTGCGCCAACAATGATGACATTTGCGCAAGTGGGAAGGACTGTTTGTCGTCGACGAGCGACGAACGTCGCCAACAAAGGCGAACGTCTTACTGAGTCATTAGCTTTGTTTTCCATACGCCCAGTTACTCACTGATTATTTCTGTTTCTAAAACTTTGTAAATGGCAACATTTAACTTAATCGTTTTAGAGATGGGTGGAAAACCCCAGAATTATCTTGTACGAAAACATGGAATGAGGTAAGACTACAAACTATTTCCATGTGTGGACTGGGGCAGGAATCAAATCTGGGCCATAGAGGTGGAACTGGAAGGCAAGTTACAAACCACTGCGCTGATCATTGGGTCAATGAAACATACTTGCTCGTTGGGGAGTATACAGATTGATGCTGCAATTCCGACGGAAGCAGCTATAAAACCAATTACAATTACCATAACAGTTTATCATTATTCGTCCTGTTTACAATTCTTGTTAACCCTTAGAAATAATGCACCTACCAAAAAGCGCACTGTAAATACGTCACAAGACCTGCTTACCGATACAAAGTGAGATAGTTGACACAAGGTCCTTCTGAAGCAGGCGTACTTGTGTGTATGGCCAATAAGTCGTTACTCTAGGTAGACTTCAAGTTCGATGTTAGAGAAAAGATCCCACGGGAAGAGCGAGTAGAACCTTTGTGAGGGAGAGCGAGTTGTAGCTATGTTTGGTGTGGGTTGCTAAATATAGCCCTGACCGTGTGATTGATTAATCATGATTAATAATCAATTTATTTATCTATTTTACCTTTATCGCTTGGCAATTGGCCAAAGTACAGACAATTTGCCGTCGTATTTTTAGACAAATTAGTAGAAATCAAGGAGGGAAATCACATATTTCAGTGGTGGAAGGTTATGAATTCCAGGCAAAAAAAAAAGGATTCAGGTAGGGATTGAAAACCCAAACCACATGTATGTCCAGGCGGGATTCGAACCTGAGTCACTGAGGTGGAAAGTATCATACGCCAACATGAGTTATTTTTTTTATCAACCTATGTATAGGTTTATGTCCGGTTAGGTCTTGTCTCTGACTCGATAATCATTAATAACAATATCAAACTAAATGTAAACTCTCAAAGACGGCGTCATATTATATGATTTGATGTTCCCTGAAGCAGAACACGAACAAACATATTGAGCTCAAGTTCCTCAACTAGCGGACATGAAAATTGCATTAATAAGCTGAAGATTGAGAAGAGAGATAAACCTCGTGAAGGATCTAGCTCCACTCCCCTTTGGAGGCCCCATTGAAATTTCTGTGTGTTTTCGAATACTCGGTCGGGTGCTCATACCATTGTTCAATGAAGTGTTTCCAATTATTGCATACATTGCAACGACCGAAAGCAGAATAATTTCAAACCAAACACTTTCACTCGCATGACTCTATTCCATTAAATTTGCACGATATTCTTTCTTGTCATAAATAAGAGACTCTATATTTATAACAAAATATTACAAAATTTATAAACAAGAAATTTTCCTTTAAATAAAACATTAATGGCCTAAAATCCATAGCTTATATCAAGTGAAAATTGATGTTTTTAGAATGTATATAAATTACACTATGCTTTTATCAAATGAGTCCCCTGTCATAATAGCACACGCGCACACAACCTTTTATGCATATTATACTTGCGTGAAAGACGTTGTTTCCCTTTTTTTGCCTTCCTTTGTTTCTGTTGGAATCTTTAACTCCATTTTCCTTAATGACAAAAACTATTTCTATATAGAAGAGAGACTTGTGGGTAGATTGTCCCTATTGTGCTTACTACCTCATGAAGAATGGGTATGTACTTTGGAACAGTGAGCAAGTTCCCCTTTTTGGTGATCCCCCCAAAGTTTGAAAACCGTTCCGCCGCCGCTGCCAAAGCACTTGTAATAACAGTTAATGGGTATGTACTTTGGAACAGTGAGCAAGTTCCCCTTTTTGGTGATCACCCCCCCCCCCCCCTAAGTTTGAAAACCGTTCCGCCGCCGCCGCTGCCAAGCACTTGTATAGCAGTGAATGGGTATGTACTTTGGAACAGTGAGCAAGTTCCCCTTTTTGGTGATCACCCCCCCCCCCCCCCCCCCCTAAGTTTGAAAACCGTTCCGCCGCCGCTGCCAAAGCACTTGTAATAGCAGTGAATGGGTATGTACTTTGGAACAGTGAGCAAGTTCCCCTTTTTGGTGATCTTCCCCCCCCCCCCCAAGTTTGAAAACCGTTCCGCCGCCGCTGCCAAGCACTTGTAATAACAGTTATGGTATAAATTTTTTTATCTCCACGGTTCGATAATAATAAACATTAAATCATCTGTCCAGTGTGTAAACACTTAATCTTCGTTATCTAACGCACAATATTGTCACAATATTGTCACGATTTGAAGTGTATTTACACTGTTCCCCTTTTTGGTGATCACCCCCCCCCCCCCCCCAAGTTTGAAAACCGTTCCGCCGCCGCTGCTGCAAAGCACTTTTAATAACAGTTAATGGGTATGTACTTTGGAACAGTGAGCAAGTTCCCCTTTTTTGGTGATCCCCCCCCCCAAAGTTTGAAAACCGTTCCGCCGCCGCTGCCAAGCAGCTTGTAATAACAGTTAATGGGTATGTACTTTGGAACAGTGAGCAAGTTCCCCTTTTTGGTGATCCCCCCAAAGTTTGAAACCGTTCCGCCGCGCCGCTGCCAAAGCACTTGTAATAACAGTTAATGGGTATGTACTTTGGAACAGTGAGCAAGTTCCCCTTTTTGGTGATCACCCCCCCCCCCTAAGTTTGAAAACCGTTCCGCCGCCGCTGCCAAAGCACTTGTAATAGCAGTGAATGGGTATGTACTTTGGAACAGTGAGCAAGTTCCCCTTTTTGGTGATCACCCCCCCCCCCCCTAAGTTTGAAAACCGTTCCGCCGCCGCTGCCAAAGCACTTGTAATAGCAGTGAATGGGTATGTACTTTGGAACAGTGAGCAAGTTCCCCTTTTTGGTGATCTTCCCCCCCCCCCCCAAGTTTGAAAACCGTTCCGCCGCCGCTGCCAAAGCACTTGTAATAACAGTTATGGTATAAATTTTTTTATCTCCACGGTTCGATAATAATAAACATTAATCATCTGTCCAGTGTGTAAACACTTAATCTTCGTTATCTAACGCACAATATTGTCACAATATTGTCACGATTTGAAGTGTATTTACACTGTTCCCCTTTTTGGTGATCACCCCCCCCCCAAGTTTGAAAACCGTTCCGCCGCCGCTGCCAAGGCACTTTTAATAACAGTTAATGGGTATGTACTTTGGAACAGTGAGCAAGTTCCCCTTTTTGGTGATCCCCCCCCCCCCAAAGTTTGAAAACCGTTCCGCCGCCGCTGCCAAAGCACTTGTAATAACAGTTAATGGGTATGTACTTTGGAACAGTGAGCAAGTTCCCCTTTTTGGTGATCCCCCCCCACCCCTAAGTTTGAAAACCGTTCCGCCGCCGCTGCCAAAGCACTTGTAATAACAGTTAATGGGTATGTACTTTGGAACAGTGAGCAAGTTCCCCTTTTTGGTGATCTCCCCCCCCCCCCCAAGTTTGAAAACCGTTCCGCCGCCGCTGCCAAAGCACTTGTAATAACAGTTATGGTATAAATTTTTTTTATCTCCACGGTTCGATAATAATAAACATTAATCATCTGTCCAGTGTGTAAACACTTAATCTTCGTTATCTAACGCACAATATTGTCACAATATTGTCACGATTTGAAGTGTATTTACACTGTTCCCCTTTTTGGTGATCACCCCCCCCCCCCAAGTTTGAAAACCGTTTCCGCCGCCGCTGCCAAAGCACTTTTAATAACAGTTAATGGGTATGTACTTTGGAACAGTGAGCAAGTTCCCCTTTTTGGTGATCCCCCCCAAAGTTTTGAAAACCGTTCCGCCGCCGCTGCCAAAGCACTTGTAATAACAGTTAATGGGTATGTACTTTGGAACAGTGAGCAAGTTCCCCTTTTTGGTGATCACCCCCCCCCCCCAAGTTTGAAAACCGTTCCGCCGCCGCTGCCAAGCACTTTTAATAACAGTTTAATGGGTATGTACTTTGGAACAGTGAGCAAGTTCCCCTTTTTGGTGATCCCCCCCCCCCAAAGTTTGAAAACCGTTCCGCCGCCGCTGCCAAAGCACTTGTAATAACAGTTAATGGGTATGTACTTTGGAACAGTGAGCAAGTTCCCCTTTTTGGTGATTACCCCCCCCCCCCACCCCTAAGTTTGAAAACCGTTCCGCCGCCGCTGCCAAAGCACTTGTAATAACAGTTAATGGGTATGTACTTTGGAACAGTGAGCAAGTTCCCCTTTTTGGTGATCCCCCCCAAAGTTTGAAAACCGTTCCGCCGCCGCTGCCAAAGCACTTGTAATAACAGTTAATGGGTATGTACTTGGAACAGTGAGCAAGTTCCCTTTTTGGTGATCCCCCCCAAAGTTTGAAAACCGTTCTGCCGCCGCTGCCAAAGCACTTTTAATAACAGTTAATGGGTATGTACTTTGGAACAGTGAGCAAGTTCCCCTTTTTGGTGATCCCCCCAAAGTTTGAAAATCGTTCCGCCGCCGCTGCCAAAGCACTTGTAATAACAGTTAATGATTATGTACTTTGGAACAGTGAGCAAGTTCCCCTTTTGGTGATCCCCCCCCCACCCCTAAGTTTGAAAACCGTTCCGCCGCCGCTGCCAAAGCACTTGTAATAACAGTTAATGGGTATGTACTTTGGAACAGTGAGCAAGTTCCCCTTTTTGGTGATCTTCCCCCCCCCAAGTTTGAAAACCGTTCCGGCCGCCGCTGCCAAAGCACTTGTAATAACAGTTAATGGGTATGTACTTTGGAACAGTGAGCAAGTTCCCCTTTTTGGTGATCACCCCCCCCCCCCCAAGTTTGAAAACCGTTCCGCCGCCGCTGCCAAAGCACTTGTAATAACAGTTAATGGTATGTACTTTGGACAGTGAGCAAGTTCCCTTTTTGGTGATCTTCCCCCCCCCCAAGTTTGAAAACCGTTCCGCCGCCGCTGCCAAAGCACTTGTAAAGTTATTGTATAATTTTTTTTATCTCCACGGTTCGATAATAATAAACATTAAATCATCTGTCCAGTGTGTAAACACTTAATCTTCGTTATCTAACGCACAATATTGTCACGATATGAAGTGTATTTACGCTGTTATTTCGCTTGTGTAAACTCAGACGGTTGTGTACTATATCGTCGCTTTGCTCACAAACCTCAAAATTTGACAAAAGTTCATTCTGAGATAATCGCATTTGAAGTTATTCATTTTTCCAAGGACATTTTCGACCATTTTGCAGTAACAGAATTCGGAAATTTTTACATTGTCCGATAGGATATGATTTTCTCTTTGTTAGTTCATAGTTGTTTGTTGAAAATAGTTCGTAATTAAACAGTAATTCATTAATAAAACTTTTTTGCACTTCGTGAGAACATCAGAACTTTGGCTCCCATATTTTGCCAATTACTTTGTACACAGTTTTAATCACTTCGTGGGATCATGAATCTTTTTTTCGACGCAACAAACTTGTTACTTTTGCGCGTCACGACAGTT